ACGGCATGGCGGAGATAAGGCAGCTTGTTTAAAAAGACTTTGAACGTAATAAAAAAAATATTTAAAGAGGAGAATGACTGAATAATAAAGGTACCCCCGGCCCCATCAAGAAAACAAAAGATATCCATTTTTGATGATAAGCGTCTTGCTGTATTTTATAGAATAGCGCTAATCTACAGACTACAACACGTGATATCGATTTATCCATAGTGGAAACTGATATGAAGCCATTAAGCGTTTATAATCAGTAAAATAGCTCACTTATTCCATTACATTTCCAGATATTTAGCTAGGATGTAAAAAAAACAGTTTGGGCCAAAAAATATACGGATTAATACTCTCTGATGGGATTATGGTTTAAAAGTTCCGAGCTCAGGTTAAAAGTCAAGATGTCCCATTAAATGTAAATTTATCGGTTTAAAGGGTTTTAAATAAAAAATAAAAAGTTGGAATACAAAAATACAGGAATACAGGAATACAGGAATACAGGAATGCAGGAATAAAGGAATAAAGGAATACAGGAATACAGGAATAAAAGAATACCAGAATACATGAATAGGTGAATGCAAGAGTAAAGGATTACAGAAATTTGGAAATACGTATTATGAAAAAGCAGAAATGTCCAAAGTTAAAACTTTTTTTAAGAAATGACAAAACTTAATTAACACCTGCCGCTGTGTAGAATTATTACATGACAAGAAAATTTAATTTAAGAAAATTTTGCAGAATTCATAAATTAATTTTAACCTTCACTATAAGTATGTAATTAGTAACTTACAGTTACCGTGAATTCTTAATCCTATTTCTGCAAGGGGGATAACTCCTCTTCACCTGCGGTGTCGTTGTATAACTCCCAAATAATTGGTTTACGCCTGTTAACATTAGTTTTCCATGTATGCCTATATGCTCTATTCAGGGGTTTAAATAGTATTTAACCAGAATGNTTTCTGTTTCTGTTTCTGTTTCTGTTTCTGTTTCTGTTTCTGTTTCTGTTTCTGTTTCTGTTTCTGTTTCTGTTTCTGTTTCTGTTTCTGTTTCTGTTTCTGTTTCTGTTTCTGTTTCTGTTTCTGTTTCTGTTTCTGTTTCTGTTTCTGTTTCTGTTTCTGTTTCTGTTTCTGTTTCTGTTTCTGTTTCTGTTTCTGTTTCTGTTTCTGTTTCTGTTTCTGTGAACAATTTTCTAAATAATTTGCCTTGAAAACCAAGATTTCCACTTACACCTATAATCTATACTAGACACTCTACAATCAGTGTTCTATTCTTTTCCAACCAACCACACCGTATCCCCTCCTCTTGGTACCATTACCCCCCTTTTCCCACCCTCTGATACCATTATCCCCCCCTCCATCACTGTACTCCCTTTATCCTCTTTCACATTTGGTGTAATCATAATATTATTTCATATTAGACCTGCAGGAATGGAATAGAAAGGAATTGTGGATGGGGGAATCATTCAAGTGATGGGGATTATGGGGGGGGGGAGGTTCTAGATATTTATAAATCCGCGAAAGTATTCTAGAGTGAAAAGATCTTCTTTATCAATTGAAATAGGTTTCTAGATCCTAGAGGTTTATCTCAGACGTCCGTATACAGGGTTACCCACAAAGAATGAGACTGTAAAGACGACTTGAAACCCTAGAAATATGACGAAATTATGATTGAATTAAATCTTTTTATTACTTATTTAATGATTGGGCAAAGAAAGAAACAAGTTTACAAGGAATCATGAATATAAGGAAACAGAACGTAAATTCCGTACCGTCGTCTCTGGAGTCTCATCCTTTGAGGGTAATCGTGTATATCAATTTAAATATTGCAATCTTTTTCTGAACCACTCTAAAAAAGTTTAAAATCCGTATTCAATCTGAAAATTTGTATGTAAAATGAAAACAAAAAGAGTTTCAATTTTAATATGTTGTTTGACAAAAATTAAATAAATTTTTTTTAAATTGTTTTAACACTTGGCAAAACTCACTGAAAACTAAAGAAATTGTTTAACCCAATTTGGCCTGGGGGGGGGGGTAAAAGTTACCCCCCCCATAGTTTTTTTGCGATAACTCAAAAAGTATTTTAGCTAGGAAGCTCAAATTTTCTGAATTTTCTAACTAACCCATAATCCTCACTTAAAGCTAAAAGCTGGGCTTTTATACCTACTGCCTGAATCCTTAGACATACTGTCTGAATGCCTTATTTGACCTATACCAGACTAAATCTATAATTAGACCTACTTCCAATCATTGGATTTCAACATTTTATAGCTCTCCTGTAACAAAAGAAACCAGATTGCACAATTTAAGCAAAGAAATTTTGCACAGATTTTTGAACGGATGTCTTTAATTTGCACATTTTCAGTTTTTTTTTGCACATTTGAATTCGCTGGGTCAAGGGCATTTTAAAACTGTATAATTTGTTGCAATTTGAGAAATTTATTTTGCACATTTTTGCTAGATAACTAGATTTAATTGACCCCATTGTATCATTTTATGCCCTACCCTCCTATCCACTCAATAATACTGGCATTACTATTAATTATTAACGATTCATTTATCAGACTAATCACCTAGGTAAATATCCAAACATAAATACTTGTAATTAGAAAATATTTTGGACGCCGTTATAAAAAAACAAGTTTTTCAGTATTTACAGGGTTTCCAAAAAATCTTAATATCTTTTATCCCTGACATTTTCAAGATGCAAAGAACGTAAACAAGAGTTTAGAAAGCTCACAATATGTACATTATACTACCATTCTGTCACTCTTTGGTTTTTAATAACTGCCTAATATCAAAGACCCTGTTTGAGGGCTATCTAGGCACTTTTAGAGGAAATCCAATGATTCTATTCGATTGATCAAAATTGCCCAAAAGGACAGTTAAGACCTATGCAACACTCCAATTGATTTAGCTCTACAATTTCTAGGCAGCGGTCAAAATTCGTTACTCGCGAATGCCGCAATGAATTATAAGACAGAGAGAGAGCCAGTTCTAGCCGCGGTACTCGGCCCCCTAGCCTGTCCTAGCCGCAGCATGCGGCCCAGAAAGTGTCTTAACCTAACCTAAACCTAAAATATATACTAATCTCTCTCGTCTTATAATTCATTGCAGCATTCGCGAGTAACGGAGCTTGGCCGCTCCCCGATTTCAATATCAATCTACGAGAATTGAGTAATACTGATTTCTTCTCAAATTGGCAGGAAAATTTGTTGATTTCCAAATTTGGTAAAGGAAACAACTGGTTTGCAGTGAAGACTAATACATATTGTAAGGGGACTTTTATTTATACAAAATCGTTTTTTTGTGATGGGGGGGGGGGGGGCGTTGGCAAGGATTACAAAAGGCCAAGAAAGATTACATGAATGGACTGCGTTACATTTCAGGATGTTTCCGTGAGATGGTTTTGCAAAAGTTAGCAATATTTGCACGCTATATGTGGTGCTAGGAAATCTGGATAGAAAATCAAATTCTAGATCTTTTTGTAAGTTTGCATTCGAATGAAAACATTGTTTGTTGTTCGATAATTTCAATTATTCAAATTTAAGAACGAGATCTGATCCAACCATTCTTTTATCTTTAAATATTTAAAGGTTGGTATACATTACATAGTTTTAGTTTGTTCCAAACCAAAGGAATCTTATAGAAATTTTCCAATATTTAGCAAATTCCAATAAAAATGGTCAGATACATAGCCACTGTCCGCACAAAAAATTAGATTATTAAAATATCAATATTGCTATTTGATACCTGAACAAATTCCAAGATGGAGGAATAACAAAAGTGTACTCCAGGCTTTCAACTCCATATTTACAAAGAATTGATCATTTTGCATTTAATAGATTCATTTCACGTCAGCTCGATTTCCGTACTTTCTCGACCTGTTTCCTGGATAAGATAAACACAGCTACTGACTACTGAGAGAGGATTGAAGAAGAGTCGGGTTCTCTGGGAACCAATTCAACTGGTGGCTCTACGCAGTCCCCTCTGGGGGTTCTACGCGGATTTCCTCTGGTTTAGGTTTTCACGGATTTTCGTCCTACACAGAGCAGGCCGGCTCAACCATGTAAGAAGATGTTTAAGAGTTGAAAACTTGAACTAGAGTCTTCACCACGCAGGGGCCTGGGCGAATATCTAAAGANAAGGGAAGCCCAATTTTACAAACATAATCAATGTAAAAATAAGCCGGAAAGCGCGGCGCGCGCGTGGGAAATATCCCATAAAATTGGAGCAGGAAAGCTTGTTTACACGTGCACTGAGCAGAACAATAGCAAATTAATATTATTACATGTACAGTAAAAAATACAGTGATCGGCGATTATTTCAATACGATCAAGACGACTTTTCTATTTAAGTTTTGATTTGATTGTTATAACAATGTCTTGTCAAATTAGAAGTTTAGAAGAGAACAAGAAGAATATGTTAATTGACACCTCAATTCTCTTTGTTTCCCTGTTTATGTGTGTAATTTTAAGTTCTGTTTTAAACCCATGACAGAACTTAAAATTGAAATAAAACGTCGTCTAAATTGATTAATATATACGACGACGACTGAAGGAGAACTGCAAAATTATAAATTATTTTTAAAAAAAGCAGACAACGAAGACGTTACATGTTCACTGTTCAGTATTAACCAATGAGCTTGAAGGGTACAAGGTTTATTATTCATATTTTTATTCAACTACAAAGCACGAGATAATACAAATAACAAATTACAATTTACTACGCAGTTTGGACCCCCCAAACCAGAGTTGGTTATTTTGATTGGTTGGCCCATTATAAGCGAATAAGAATTGTAAATAAATAAATGGATGCACACTGTACTGTGTACATTTTAAACAAAACAATGATGATAAATCATGGATTAGGTAAGGAGGGGGTGAAAAAGTATAAGGGAAAGGGTGGGTACTGAGCGGAAGGGTTGTAAAAGAGGGTAGCTTATATTATTAGAATCATGTTTATGAATTACAGGGTAAAGAAGATAGCAAAGTTTATCCACATGAAAAACATTTATTTTTTTACAGATATAACTTGCATAACTTTCTAAATAGTTTTTGAAGATTTTTCTTTTTCACAATTTTGCAGATTTAGTTTCTTAAAACTTTAATTCAATCGAATTCCATAATTTTGTAAATAAAGCGGAAGGAAAATAATCTAGCGTTTTAAAAAGAACCCTCTCAAGTTTATATGATTTTGTTCTGGTTCAGCTAAAGAATTAAACATATCATGGAAGGAAGTTGGAAGGTTTTTATAAAAGTATTTGTGCATAAAAGATAGAACACCTAGTTTATATGTATCATCAAGATTTAGAAGTTCTAATCTGTGAAGATATTTAAACATTTGTGTCGCAGCTATTTTTTCAAGAAGTTTACTTAGCGCTAGGCACGTGGATTTAACGGTTCTGTCAATATTTCAGAAAACTGTGACTTTCGATCACAATTTGACTCCTTTTACATAATTTTATAGCCTTTTAACAAAAATATATTTTTTTGTTGGCATATACATTTTGAATGGAAAAGTATAAAACAACCAAATCTATAAGACTAAACTCGGTTGAGTTATGGACGAAAACACGTTTGATTTCAAATAAAAGAAAACCGAATGCTTCTCTCTCTCGTTAGTTCGGGGTGTAGGAGAATACTATTTGGTCTGTAGTTATTAAATTTATCTTTTTCGTCAGTTTTAAAAATAGGAATTATTTTTGCATTCATAATCACTATGGATATATCCTGTTTTAAAAGAAAGGTTTAACAAATGAGCTTAGAATAAACAATACCATCAACTATTTCCTTCAGTAGCTGGGTAGAAATATTGTCCTTACCTGAACTGTTTTTAGGCTTAAGTTTACTCACATAGGATGATAATTCAATGATAACCTTAACTCTTTGGACTTTGTAAGTGTTTCAAGAAAGTGTCCCAAGAAAGTGTCCCTGCAAGAAAGTGTCCCAAGAGAGTGTCCCAAGAAAGTGTCCCTGCAAGAAAGTGTCCCAAGAAAGTGTCCTAAGAAAGTGCTTGCTGTCTAAACTTTCCTCAGTTCAAAATATATACCCCCTTGATTTTCTTTAGATGTTTTGCTGAAGTTGTTACTACAACTTCTGATTCAATAATCTTATTTTCTAAAATTACAAAATATCTATTTTTGATTACGTCGATATTGCATTCCTTGCTTCACATTTTGTCACAATTTCAATTTTTTAAAAATAAACCAAAGTTTTTGTGGCTCTAATTTGGATGAAAAATCCATGTTCCCTATACCACGAACCTAACTATATGTTTGTAATTTTAAACTACAAAACACATTTTCCAATTCGATTCGAACGTTTTTCGAGATTTTGTTAGGAATCTTTCAAATCAAATTCTGTCCGTTGTATTTACTATATGTTTTCGATAAGTTCAATTAAATTTCTGACAAAATATTTCCCTAAAATGGTTTCATTATCATTTTAATCGTTTCCTCCAAAAATCTCAAGCTTTGCAAGTCAATGTGTCTTAAGTTTTGAAATATAAAACCTTAATAATATGTTCTCAAATTAAACAGAATTTAGAAAATATATTCAATTTTACTGTAAAAAAAATATTTCTTCTTTTCTTGAATTAACCAACTGTACTAATTCTATTCTTTGATATTTAGATTAACAAATTACAAAAGAAAATTTAATTTTACATAAAATTTTCTTTTCTTCAAAATGATGTCGATTGCAGTAGATTGGAGAGCACTTGGTGAGGTTGATAGATAAAAATAAAAAATTGAGTCTTTCTTCAGATTTCTTGTAGTTATGGTTAAACAAGAATAATCCCTGTCATCTTGCCAGGCTACATTTGTTGCATAAAACGTGCTAAGTCGACTCTACACTGGGTATCCTGACTGATAAAACCGTTTATGAAGTTTTTTTTTGATTTTTCGAACGATGTAGTTGGTCATTACGAACGATACTAAACATCCTTAACCCTATCCCTGCTGGGGTAATTGAAAACCAGGATATGGACCCCCCCTCTAAATCCCAAGTTTAATGTTCAAATATGACAAATGATACGTCATTAGAGAGCTCTACTTTCAGAATCTGCAAAAAAATGAATATTTGCAAAAATTTTAATATTTTTTGCAAATTCAAGTTATGAAGAATAGTTGTTTTAAAAAAATGTCCAAAATGATAAAATATACATGATACATGATAAATACTCAAAAAAACAGGGGGGGGGGGGGTCCCCAAGGAGCTCCCATCTTTTTCCTTTGTGTGATACAAATTTATAAAATTTGATACATTCTTGGAAAGCCCTTAGTTTCTTCAAAAATAATCTTCAAAAAATTGCAAATTTACAAAATTTAAAATATTTAATGCAAAATCAAGTTAAAATGCAAAATATTTGCAAAACTAAAAATGTGCAAATTATCTGTAAAGACATCTGTGCAAAAAGCTATGCAAAATTTCTTCGCAAAATTGTACAATCTGCTTTCTTTAGTTCAAAGCTTTCCAAAGAGCTATGAAAAGTAGAAATCCAATGACCCCCCCTTAGCCGGAATAGGGTTAAGAAAAACTAAAATTGTTTAAATTTCTTTTGACGATTGAACGCAAATAATTAGCAAAAATTTCTTTGCAAAACTTGTACAATCCGTTTCCTTCTGTCATAGGCTTTCCAAAAAGCTAAGAGTTATCAAATATGACAAGTGTAAGTGACGGTCAAAAAAATATTTAGTTTGTCAAAAGAAAAAGTTGTCATTCAGGCAGTGTGCCTGATGACTTAGGAAGTTAGTATAAAAGCCCGGTAGAAGGTTTAGGGTGAATAATCTTTATTACAAAATCTCTAATATGTCATTAAACTTCTTTAGTTGAGTCGTATATTTGGTTTATATATTCCAACCCTGCAACTGAATATGAATCCCTGGCTCAGTTTCCATGATGGGACCTCATAACAAAACCAGACATGCCCGTCTTTCTTATTCTCAAGAAAAATGTCATTTTCTGTCGAGAATTTTGATAGGGAATAACATTCAGTCTGAAGGAATGTTGGAGACATATGGAAGGGAGGAGTTTTTATTAGGAATCCAATTGAATATAGCAGAGCGTAATTTGAAGAGTATTTTAAGGAGGGGCGGGGATATTTTGTTGCGTGTTAAATATTTGTAAATTTGAAAGCGCGATTCTCAAGAATTACTTGGATTGTTGATCTTAGCGTTGCAAATTTATTTCAATTCATTGACCATTTAATTCCGTTTCTTGCCTAGAAATTCTAGCCTAATTATTACTCGCCCATTTCTACTGCATGAAAGGAATTATCGTGTAGTTAATGATCTTGACAATATCTTCCACATTATTGATCAGATACAGGTTGTAATGTTTCCGCTGTGAATGGTACATTTCCATCTTTGCATAAAGGGTCACTTAGAATTACACTTATAGTCCCTAGTTAACTGATCTATCTGATTGAATAAAGTAGTTCACCTAGAAATGGGTAATCAGTCTTCTTGACTATCTTATTCAACTACCGTTAGAGATTTCGAATATAAGATGACTTAACACAAACATAAAATATATTTCAAACATAATTTTACAAGATTTTTGAAATATTAAAAAAGATAAAAGTAATAAAATTGTGTGAGTGCAGTATTTATACTGCAATATTCAATATATTGAGTAGAAACAAGAAAATACATCACTCTACAATTCACAATATAAGATCAGATCACATGAATAAAAAGCAATGAAGGTAAAACGGAAACATTTTGCCACTTTCAGCTTTCGGAAATTCTAACAGAATTCACATTTTTACAAAAATTATCATAATTTTTTTTAAAAATTCTTTTGACTTTAACTTTTCCATTCTAGTGTTCTCTCGAAATGATTTGCAAAATTTGAAAATGTTTCGAGTTTAATCAATTAACAAAATATATTTTGAGAAAGTTTTGATGCTATTTCTGTCAGACTAGGAGAACTTTGGGGAGATTGTGTTTAGATAGGGAATTAGGAAATATAGAAACGAGAAGAGGGATAAAATTATATTAGATAGGGGAAATTATAGGGAGAAAGGGTTAGTTTGATAATGAATACCAGACTGTTCTGAAATATCAAGATAAGAAGGAGGAGCACGGTGAGAAAAGCCAAGAAATATAGGTATGTTTGAAGAATAGTTTAAAAGGGAGTAAAAATGAGAACAAGGTCGAAAATTGTGGTTCGAGTTTATGCGAAGAAAAAAAGAGGAAAGAAAACAAAGAAAAAAAAAACCAGCTTTGTCAATGATCTATAATCAGGACAGTCTACAAACCTTGATTTAAAAACTCTTGGTCAAAATTCATCCTCGAACTCGTTCTCTTGATCAATCTCCGCCTCAGTGTCTTGATCAATCTCCGCCTCAGACTCCGCCTCTTCCGGTTCAGTTTTACGGCGGACGGATAAGGAGAATGAACTTCCGGGTTTAGGAAACCTTTCAAGAAATATAAAAATCATTGACATTAAAAGAAATAAGGTTCAATTCAAATTAAATGATAAAACGATAAAAAGCAAATATTTTACATTTAATGCGTTGAAAGCTCAAACTTGAGAAAATAAATATAGGATTAAGAACATACTACAAATATCTTCTAAATTATCAGATAGCTTATTAAGAATAACCGTTTCTCAAAAATGTTAACGCAAAATGTAATACCTGCACAAAACCAATCGATTCCTGTAAAACTACCTGTAACAGACCAAGTACAACCCGTAACAGGCTATAAGAACTACCATTAAAAGACCAAGTGCTAATTGTAAAAAACAAAGTACTATATATACCTCTTTAAAGCTAAGTACTACATATAAAAAACAAAGTATTACCTATAAAAAGATGAGCTAGCTTCAGCAATGGTTTCAGGTAAGTATTCAGTATAGTTCTTGGCTAATGCAGTAACACGAGACTAGGCAAATAATAAAAATATGAAAAAAATGTTAAGGTTTAAAATCAAGGCACATTTTCACTTTTTAATACAACCTGTGTGTAGTATTTGTTCAATCTTTTCCAATCTAGAAGGTCGGAAAGACGTTCCGTTCGGTTCCTCTGCATAATCCGCTGTTTTCTAAACATGGATTTATAAATAAAAAGGACTGCATATTACATAATCCGCTGTTTTCTAAACATGGATTTAGAATTAAAAGGACTGCATATTACATAATCCTCGGTTTTCCAAACATGGATTTATAAATAAAAGGACTGCATACTGCATAATCCACTGTTTTCTAAACATATGGATTTATAAATAAAAGGACTGCATACTACATAATCCGCTGTTTTCTAAACATGGATTTATAAATAAAAGGACTGCATATTACATAATCCTCGGTTTTCTAAGCATGGATTTAGAATTAAAAGGACTCCATACTACATAATCCTCGGTTTTCTAAACATGGATTTATAAATAAAAGGACTGCATATTACATAATCCTCGGTTTTCTAAGCATGGATTTAGAACTAAAAAGACTGCATACTGCATAATCTGCTGTTTTCTAAACATGGATTTAAAAACACAAGGTCAGCATAATCCTCTTTTCTAAACAAGGATTTATAATTACATGGACTGCATATTGAATAATCCAATGTTTTCTAAACATGGATTTAGTAGTAGAAGGACAGCATAATACTCTCTAAACGTGGATTTATAAATAAAGTGATTTCACAATCCATTACTTTTTTACATGGATTAAGAAATACAGGAGTTGTACAATATTTAGCTTTGAAAACATGGATTAAGGAAACCAGAAATTGTAATTCTATCTGCTCCCTTCAAGAGCCTTGATTTATAAATACAGAAAATTAAAAACCTTCGGTTTGATTAACAAGGAATTTTGAATACAAGGACTGCAAAAAGGAATAAAATCATAAAATTAGACAGGATCGTGGCAAAGGGGCTACATTAGCTTCTGCTTTCTCTACATGGATTCAGGAATACAGGGGTTGTAAAATCATCCGCTTTCTGCAACAACATGGATTAATTAATTAAACAGGGATTGCATAATCCTTGGTTTTCTAAACAGGAATTATAAAAACAAGGACTAAATCATCCTCGTCCGTCCTAACCATGGATTTAGGAAAACCGGGATTGTGTGAACCTTTGCTTTCTAAATGTGAATTTATAAACAGCTGGGACTTAATATGATAAATGTAAAAGACATAAACTAACTAGTTTCTCTTGATACNAAAATTTAGTTTAAAGTGTCCGACTTGAGGGATAGTTACCATTTGATTTTGATTTGGATGAAGTAAAAAGAAATAGAAGATTAACCCCTCTAATCCTTTGAAATTCCTCAAAAATGGGCCCCAGTTTATAGTTTTAAATTTTAGAATGGGTCATTAAAGTTTTTGTCATCCGATCCTTCCATTTGGTGTTGAACTATGTCAAATATTCGAAAATTTGTCTATTAACTTTAGCAAATATACAGAGTTTATCTACAAGTACATTGAAGGTTATAAAAGTATATAGAAGTTCTACTCTAATTTTGCTCTTCCCGCAGGAATGAACACATTTTCTCAAGACCTATAGTTTCCTCTCAGTTACTACCGGTTCCGGTATTACTTCTGGTTCCTGTACATGGTTTAAGGGTTTGGGATTTGCTCAAGGTCTTTATCTTCTTTCCAGCATGAGGGGATTTCTTGCACATACTTCTTCTTCTCCTTGTCTTAACTTTTAATCTTGTACATAAATGGAAACCTATGGGTTCTATCCTATGGGTCTCACTTCAAATAACTGGTTTAGCCTGTCGAGATAGAATTTTAAATGTTTTTCCTATTCTTAACACTTAACTCTATTCCTGCTGGGGGGGGTCCCCCCCCCAGCATATCCTGGTTTTCAAGTACCACAGCAGAGATAGGGTTAAGGTCCTTTTCCACCTTTCTCTGCTGTTCCTACTCTCGTATTGCTGTTGCTGACATTTTTCCATTCACTGCTTCCCGAAATTCTTTGGACACTAAAGTACTTGTCACTAATTCCCAGTATCTACCAGCGCTAATACACAAGTCTCAGTTTTGAATTTCTTAAATTTTGCATACGAGGTTTATTGTCTTTTCCATACTAATCAAGTTTGTCATTAACTCTTCCTTCCAATTATTAACTTCCTCTTGTTTGACCTCATTATCTTCTATGTACCTATATTAAAAATGAAATTTAAAAATGAAAAATCTTAAAACACATAAAAACAATTAGATCTTCATTATTAGAACTAAAATTAATGAAAAGCGAAAAATAGTTTAATCAACGTAAAAAAAGGTGTTCAACCTTCAACTTCTCTTAAGCGCCGATTCAAGTTCAAGTGAAGTAATTCAAATTAATTTACGAAGCTCAATTCATGCTATTCATTAAATTATGTCTAGAATTTCTTTCCCTTACTTACTTCCTATCTATAATGTAGACACCGTAGGCCTTGGTATCTGCTACGTACTCCTGTAAAATTCAAATAGTTTTATTTACAACTATCATACTATCATAGTTTTAATACAAATCCACGAAAAATTATCTAATCTCCCAAGAAATCTTGTGTTGTCTTAGAAAATGAATTTCTCCGAAAATCTTCTTAAAATTATAAAAATAATAGACATTTTTACAGAAATTAACTTTAACTCTAAATTTTGAGATAAATAAGTTAGCAAGAGGAAAAGTAATAAAGAAATTTTGGTTAAATAATTCTATAAATCTGAATCTAATTTATCAAAGTATATAAATCTATAAATCTGAATCTAATTTATTAAAGTATATAAATCTATAAATCTTAATCAAATTTATTAAAAAATATAATTATATATAGCTGAATCTAATTTTTTAAGTATATAAAACTATAAATCTGAATCTAGTTTATTTAAGTATATAAATCTATAAATCTGAATCTAATTTATTTAAGTATATAATTCTATAAATCTGAATCTAATTTATTAAGGTGTATAGTTCTAAATATCTGAATCTAATTCTATATCTAAATCTAATTTATTAAAGTATATATTTCTATAAATCTGAATCTAATTTATCAAAGTATATAGTTCTATGAATCTGAATGTAATTCATTTAAGTATATAAAAGTATAAATCTTGATCTAATTTATTAAAGTATATAAATCTATAAATCTGAATCTAATTTAATAAAGTATATAAATCTATGAATCTGAATATAAATAATATATATACCTGGATAAAACATCCAAACCCCGATAGATTAGACGTGATACTAGGGATACCCATCACAGTGCTAAATTATTCAAGATAAAGGATTTAGGTAGAGATGGGCATCATTATTATTAGATTTTAGATATTCAATAATTTGTCTTTTGATAGGAGACCTCTCAACAATTTATAAGTTTTATGTAATTTAAACTTTTATTTTATCAGTTTGCTGAACAAAGCAAGTGTCCAAGCTAATTTATACGATGAAAAAGATAAACTTCAATTGATAAACTTGGGCTGAAATCAACATATTTCCCACGCAAGTCCGTTTGAAAACAAAGTTATAAAATTTTAAAATTAAAAATTCCCAAAAAAAATAATTTACCATTCCGCAGGAGTATAACCCCAGGGCTCGTAGTAGGAGGGAAAACAGCCTAAATGGCATCCTCTACAAAATATATATTTTCATTTTTCCTTTTTTTAATCGGAAAAACTAAAGTTGAATGAATAAAATTTAGTTTAAAGTGTCCGACTTGAGGGATAGTTACCATTTGATTTTGATTTGGATGAAGTAAAAAGAAATAGAAGATTCTTTATAGCCGATTGAGGGTCAGAAATAATGTTAACAATTTTGAATTAGTCGCAGTATGATGTGTTGGAATTTTCAAGCTTATTTAATCAGACCTTCTTTCACAAAAATCTAAGATGTATTTAAAAACCTTTTTTTATTAGATATTGCAAAAAAAATTCCCACTGCCATAAAATAAAAAAGCCATGACGAAAATTGAAGTCAATATGAAATTTTGCTGTAACTTGTCGGAGTAAAATGTTCAAAATATAATAAAAAATACATACACCAGAAAATAATTTTTAACAATCAAATTCATGTTGTGCCCCTCAAAAATAAAACCCAGCAAAAAATATGTATATCGCGCGCTAGCCTTAACGTACCTAATGAATTCATCGTAGGAGAGTCCGAGAAGCGGATTATCTGAATTCAAGAAGTCAGGATGGAAAACAACCTATGGAAGACGACCTTAGATAACAAATAAAAAATCGAAATCCCTGAAAAAAATCTCTGAATTTGACAGAAAAATTAAAGCTCAACCCTAGGTAACAATTTCAACCTCTCCCCAACTGTTCTTGGAATTTTATGCTCACTCTTGAGCTAAGCGCTGCGGTCTAAGGTCTGAGCATAATTCCTGAGGCCGAGCGCTGCAGCAAACTAAGTTTAGTAAAGATATACTTAAAATTTAGTGTCAACCAATATTTGAGACAGAAATCATAAACTATAATTCACCAAAACTCACCTTTACTCTATCAGATGGAGCATTTAACAGGTGACATCTATAACAATAGTCAATATATCACAAATAAACTAAGAATTTTAAGTAACTTACAAAAATTATAGTCTTTATATGTAACATTCATAGAAGATTTTATTAACATCAACTTGGAAAATAAAGAAAAATTTCTAACAAACCAGAAGATCTTGTAAAAAACCGGAAAATGTTAAAATTAATTTTAAAAATTGGATTAGTGAGATTGTCTTGAATGTAAACAAAGCTTGGAAAGTATGACAGAGACCAATTTCACAAATTAGCATAATCTGAATTCGATATTTAAACAATGTAACTCAGGGATACAAGTAGATATTTTACTCAAGATATATCAACTGTAATTCACGGATCTAGGAAGACAATTTTGAAGAACTTTAGAATGTTCTGAGATTAAAATTAAACTGCGTTGTCAATGAAAAAGTTGTCAAAAAAATAAGTAGTTACAGACAGAGTTAATCTAATTAACCGTGAGCTGACAGCATCTAAAAATAAGGATTAAAAAAACTCTTAATCAATATTCTAAAATTTTACACTTTGTAAAAACTGAAAACTTTGAAATTTATAAATTCAGAAGTTTAAAGTTGAGGGAGGTGAAATTTCCCAAAGTTTAAATAATAAACACTCTCGTTGAATGGATTGCTAACATTGTCTAGTTTCTGATGACTCGCGAAGAGAAACAAAGTTGGAGATTTTAAATTTTGATAAAAGTTAGAAACTGTATCAATCTAAGGAAACTGTGATCAAGTGAGGATTCACAATGGAAAATAATAAAGTACGGTTTATTGCTCCCAAGTGAGAATATGTTTGTTAGCCTGATAATCTAACCCAAGCCAAGCGCTAAAAGTTATTGAACTCTTAATATGTTTGCAGCCTGATGATCAAACAGGCCAGGACAGTAGTAGTACCAAAGCAGGAAAAGGGGGAAAACAGGATTCTACAGCCAAGGAAGAAAGGATCAAGATCAGCTATATTGGATTCCCTATACCCAGTATTCACTAAGTATAGAATAGGAGAAGTTCCATGGAATATACATTCGCTACTGTAAGTAAATGGCATGTTGAAGAAGAGTTAATCAATTGTACGATCACCATTTTGTGTAGTTAACATGTAAATATAGTTTTGTGTGCAAACATGTTTCGTTATTCCACTCAATCCTGGCCTTAATTTTCAACTACACCCCAAGCTTGTTAAATCAGGCCAGATTTTTGTTTGATGAAATATCTAGCCGCCTTTGTGTTTCTATTCAGCAATAACCGATAAACAAAGACGACTAATAAGTACACAGTCAGTTCGCTGCATTTGTGAATTAATTAGTTAAATTAATCGTCTATGATACATTTAAAGGGACTGTGAAGGTAATATAAAGCAACCATTCAAATAAAGATTTTAATGTCTGTCCCACAAGGTACCTAGTGAAACCTTTATCTGACTGAAGTGAAAGAGTATTTGCTAAATCCTTTTTGCACCCGCAAAAATTTATACAAATTGGAGCAAAAAATTGAAAAAATAAAATCCTCATTCGCAAAACAAAGATTATTAGGAAGTTGTATTTTCAATATTTTCCAACCCTGTAGATCTGGGTCAGGGTATCAAAAGATTTATCTCGGACTTCTGATTACTGTTTATTTGTCCGAATAGATATTTTAAAATTTGTTTGCTTTAAGGGTTTGAATGCTCGATAATTTTTCTCCAAGCATCGTAAAAAAAAAAAAATCAGATTTTAGCTAAAAAATTATAGAAAAATGTCCTGAAATTATGTATGAATTGTAAAATTTAAAGACTGGAGCAAGTTGCGCATTTCTATCATAAAAGTGCATAACTTCATAGTTTCGCCCTTACTTAAAAAACCGAATTTGAACTAACTCCACCTATTGAGCAAAAATAGAACCAAATTAAATGAACTCCACCTGTTGAGCGCAAGTAGAACTGGGTCCTTGTCTGCTTCCACCAGATTATGTGTGGTAATGGGAGGCCTGTATGAAATGCACAATTTGTTCTTGTCTGTCTAATTGTTTGTTTTATTTGTAAGACGATAACTCATAAAAAAATCTCAACTGAATGTCAAAATATCCCGCCTCAATGTTATATTATCCTCCCATCTCAAATTTTCCCTTCCAATCTCAAAATATCTTAACTTAATTACAAAATGTCCCACCTCCATCTCAAAATGTCCCAGCTCCATCTCAAAATGTCCCACCTCCATCTCNTCAAAATATCCCACCTTAATCTCATAATATCCCACCTTAATCTCAAAATATTCCACCTTAATCTCATAATATCCCACCTTAATCTCAAAATATTCCACCTTAATCTCATAATATCACACCTTAATCTCAAAATATCCCACCTTAATCTCAAAATATCCCACCTTAATCTCAAAATATCCCACCTTAATCTCAAAATATCCCACCTTAATCTCAAAATGTCCCAACTTTATCACTTAATCTCAAAGTTTTTCAACCTATTTACTTAATTTCAAAATGTCTAATCTTAATCTCAAAATATCCCTTTGTATAATCTCCGAAAAACAAACTTACCATTCAGATCTCTGGGAAGCTAATATCACGCGCTTTAATTTCACTAAAAATTAATTCATGTCAGATGTCAGACTTAGCTAAGATTTTTAAAGATGTCTATCATAAAAATTTGAGGCATCATTTTCTATTTACTTAATTACAAGCATGTTCACCTAAATCATTAGTTTCCAGGAGGGATTCTTGCACTGGAGCTTCACCTCGACAGCAGGATTCATACCTACATTGTAGTTATACTATACATGCAGTACTGTACAATTCATACTGTACACTTTGTTATTATACATGCAATTCTGCACGGTGTAAAATAAAGGACAAAATCAAGTTGGAAATAATAAATTAAGTATTTTCCCAAAGGCATTTTCCAAAGGGGGACTTCGCAAGTGTGAGTTTTCCAAGGGCAACTTTCCAATTATGTTTAAATTATCTTTTTATTTCGGTTTCAGATAAATGAATTACCTAGTACATTACTTATGAAAGTACATTACACTACCACATTAAATGAATAGATAAATTCAGAGAAAATTTTTAAAAAACAATTTTTTTACATTTTCTTCCCAATCTTAGCTTGTACATCCGCCACAGCCTCCTGCAAAAAAACATTAATTTTTAAACTTTTTTAAAGAAACAAAACAGATTTAAAATCGATTTCAAAATTCTGAATCTGTTCAGATTTAAATCTAAACATGTTTCAAAATCTATTTTACAAGAATCAAAATCTAATTGAACAGTGTAAAATTACTTATTTCTGCTAGCTAGGTATTTTACCAGTATTTCCCGGATTTCATTTTTGTAAAAAATTTTCCAAAAACATTTTCCCAAATCTTAATTTAGAGATGGGAAAATACATTAATAGATATGCTTGTATAATATATTTAGTTTAGTTCAAATGAAGGTTGTATAATTAAGCTGGGTTAGGGAAAACGTCGTATAATAGATAAAACCCTCAAATATGACGTCACTGATTGTAGAGGCGAGAAGTGACGTCAAATGTTTTTACCATTAAGAGACGACATTTTCCGTACATTGGAGGGCATTGATAGTAACAACCCAGCTTATATACAACCTCGTTTCCTTGTTGTTGACTTGTGCACTAAAACATCTAGGATAAAAAGGGCCGAGCCGAGAAATTGTGGAAAAGGTGATTAAGATCCGTCACTTGGAAAAGAACAAAACATGAATCAAATCAGATCACAAAGTTATGAAAAGTTAATCTATCTGAAAATCAAAAATATATTTAATAACCTGGAGGGATTTATTGATTGCATGTCCCCTCAGTGCATCCACATTAAAACTAAACAAAAAGTAAGTGTAACACTTTTTCTCCATAGTGGTCATAATTTAATGCAAAACCAAATTTACGAAAGACGACATTTATAAACCTTGTATTCTTCGCTGGAAATATGATGAACGCGATCACAGTGACGTCGCTGCCACAAGATTTCAAGTAGTGGTTGAGCCGAGCTAATCCTAGAGAAAGTGTAAAAACAACAATTAAATTTAATCATATTTGTTCCCTGCGCAACTAATTTGATCTAATTCATATACCCTACCCATAAACCATATGAACCATAGGACCAAATTAAAGGGACCGTTATGGTAAAAAGAAAGGGGGTATTCGGTTGAAGCCTTAACATTTTAGGAGTTGATCACCACCAACATTAGTTCTCTTTGAAAACATTGTCTAGAGAAATTGATACAAAACTGTGTGGTAACGTTAAAATAACACTCATATATAGGATATGGTACAAGAATCAAAGTTTTAAACATCATATTCAGCAAATACGGAACAAAACTCAAAATTAGGATAACCCAGAGGTGCCTAAACATTTTAGATACGCTTCTATTATAATTTCAATATAATATAATTTAAAAAATATAATTGAATTTAATCTTGTAACATCTGTATCTTGTGACGTGAATTTCAACCAATGGCAGTGCAATATACGCTCATATGGCTCCATCTGTATCACATGACCAGAATTTCCACCAATGACTGTTCAGTATCCATGGTCAAGTGGCTCCGTCGGTCATTTCACATATTCATGAGTTTTGGTCTAACTTTGCATAGTTTTAAATCAATTTTTCTATAGAAGGACATCAGAAAGAACCAATATTGGTTGTGATCAACTCAAATATTTAGGCTTCAGCATATGTCCCTGTAGGCTTCAATATATGCCCCTTTTGTTTTACCTTAACAGTCCCTTTAATAAACCAGCGGTAAGTAGTTCAACGACGTAACTGCGTCCAGGGGCGTATTTAGGAATTATCCAGGGGGCTTACGTTTTTTTCTGTTCCAGGGTCGGGGGGCTCAAAAAACCCCAGGAAATAATATATTTCACTGATCCAGGGGATGGGGCTGAGCCCCCACAGAAGCCCCCCCCCCCCCTAATACGCATCTGACTTTGCTGAACAACTTCTCTTTTCCGTTGAGTTCTATGCAGTTCAATTTTGTCTCGATGTTTAATAAATGTAGTCCCTTATCCTGGGAATTAAGAAGGCAAGATATATTCCATATCAATTACAAAATGTCACAACCTAACCCTTGACCAATAAAACACAGCTATGAAAACTATATATTTTAAATACAGGGACAAATTAATAGTGTCACAACGCCAGGAACTTTATTTTTAATCTAATTTAACTTTTGCAGCTCTAGACAAGAACATTTTATATTTAGAACTATAAAATACTTCTTTTGTCATGCGTAAGAGCTTGCAACCTTTCGATTACTGTATTAAATGTGAAGCCAAGAAACAAACCAATTTTTTCTTTTATATCTGATAAATCACACATATAGGAACTTTTTTGTTTAACATTTATGAAAATCGGATTTTGTCAAAGACTAATTTTTGAAATTTTAATCGTTCATAAACCTTTCCTGGGGTCATGTGAGGTCCCACACAAAATTAAATATATTGATGATAGACATGTTGTCAATTTAAATCCTTCCCCCCCTGAATAAAATAGCAGTGAAGGGCTTCAATGTGAATCGAACAGGTCACGCTTCAGCTGAAATTATTACGATCGCCCATGCTTGCTGTTCGTTGAGTGGAGCGGAAAAGGATTGAAGAATATCTGAGAGCTTGAGACAACCTATTGTAGTTGAGGTTGTCTCAGATATTCTCCAATCCTTCTCCGCTCCACTCCACGAACAGCAAGCATAAGCAATCGATAGAGCAACCAAAACATGAATATTGGTCAGTATTCTTCTTTATCAGCGCTTCTAACTACTCCATTACTTGATTCTTGAAGTCTTACATCTCAACCTTGACATTTAATATCTCAAGCTTGACATTTTCCACCTCAAGCTTGACATTTTCCACCTCAACTTTGACGTTTTCCACATCAAACTCGACATTTTCTAGTTCCTTGCAGACCTTTCATCTTTACCAGCATTTATTCCTTGTTTGGCCAAGTTAATTTCATTTGAAGTCTTTTCATCATTAAGAAGAGTTTGAGCAGAGTTAAGGGTTACTTGAAGAAGCATTAATTGTTCCTTAAGTTCAATCCCTGAATCCTTCATCATTTTGAGTTCCACCTCAACAGCTTCAAGTTCATTTATTCTAGTATCAAGGCTTTGCTTATCCTCCTCCAGAGTAGATTTCTCCAACTTCAAAACCTCTACTTCTTTTTTTAGAGCTTCGTGGGTGACACTATCAATATATTCTCCCCCCTCTTCCTCATTCTTGGACTTCTCCTCATTTAAGGTTTTCTCCTCTTCCATCTTCATCTTCTCTTGCAGGGCGTTATCTCTTTCCTGACCAACCACTTTAATTTCATCCCCAAGTTGAACAGGGTATGAAATTCAAAAGGTTAGACAGGAAAGAGACATAGGTGTAGTTCTTAGTAGTCACCAATCCTCGATATTTTCTCAGAAAAATACTCCACTTAGATAAGTCTATATAGTATATATGGTGGGTCACATAAACTTATGTCTACACTCTACACTTCTTTAATAACAGTTTTAGCTTAGACTTACGCAAATTATTTCTATAAAACTAAATAATTCGCTTCCTCAAGGTTAAAAATACATTTTGATGAACAGAAAACAAATACCGAAGTTTAAGAGGAAAATGAGTTCAGAAATGTTTGAAAAGGGAATAGTGTCACAACGCCAGGAACTTTGTTTAATTTAATTTAACTTTTGTAGCTCTAGACATGAACACTTTACATTTAGAACTATAAAATACTTATTTTGTCATGCGTAAGAGCTTGCAACCTTTGGATTACTGTATTAAGTATGAAGCCACGAAACAAACCAATTTTTTCTTTTATATCTGATAAATCACACATATAGGAACTTTTTTGTTTAACATCCAGCCATAGCAAAGAAAGTGGTCAGCCGGCAAAATAAAGTGGTCACCCAGGGAAATAAAGTGGTCACCCGGGGAAATAAAGTGGTCAGCCAGGGAAATAAAGTGGTCAGCCGGGGAAATAACGTGGTCAGCCGGGGAAATAACGTGGTCAGCCGGGGAAATAAAGTAGTTAGTCGGGGAAATAAAAGTGGTCAGCCAGGGAAATAAAGTGGTCATGCAGTAGATAACTGGCCCACACACGTAACTAGTTGAGTGTCCTTGATCAAAACTAGCCGGGAGAAAAAAGGGCTTTTACATTTTTGAGGGATATAAAACTTATAAAATTGTTTACCTTCAATAAAAATGTCTCCTCCTTTGTTCCCAAACTCATATCTGAAATATATTTAATTTGAATTGGTTACACAATATGAAAATTGACAATTAAATCGTAAGGCCTTTAAAAACGACTGAAGCACAAAAACCAGGCCTTAAATACACGAATATAGCAAATACAGACCCTGCAGATTGCCTGACTAAATCTCTGTGTTGACCCACACACCAGGCTACGCGTTGGAAAATTTTCAAATTTGTTTGCATATTAGAAAATTTTCAAATTTGTTTGAATATTAGAAAATTTTGAAATTATATATAACTTATATGACCACCATGAACAACATACTGACCGGCCTGCGATGAAGAAGAATAGGGTTTTATCCAGGTTGAAGTTTATATGCCCGTAGAAGTGACCGTGAACAAACTTCTGAATTTTCAACTTGTAAACCTAAATATTAATACTCTCAACAATCAAATGCAGGTAGATCAGGGGCGTATTCATACAAAGGAAAAACGAGTATTACATTATGCACGTACGTTTTCATCAGTTTTGAATCTTTTTGGGTCGTTTTTAGCATATCTCTTCCGTCAGGGTCTAAACTTGACAAGAAAATCAATATTCAGAATAAACAATATAAAAACAACTATTGGCTCAATCAGTTCAGGCGATTTCACGTTAATTGGATAGACCAATAAATATTTTTATTTAATTGATATTTGAAATATTATTGAGGTTGAACCTCTAGAACAGCGAGAAGTAGTTGGAACTACTACAGAAGCAATTCAACCAGCATTACAGAATTCAACTATACAACTCATTAAATCCGGTTTCTAATAAATTTACACATACTATTTTAAAAAAATCATATAATTAACCTGATGCAGATTTTGGAACTCATGGGACATGCGCAGAACATTCAAACCATTCGGGGTTATAAAGTCAGGTCTAAATTACAGGGTTATAAATTCAGGTCTAAATTACAGGGTTATTAAGTCGGGTCTAAATTACAGGGTTATAAGGTCAGATCTAAATAACAGGGTTATAAAGTCAGGTCTAAATTACAGGTTTATAAAGTCAAATCTAAATTACAGGGTAATAATTAGTCAGGTCTAAATTAGAGGGTTATATTTAGTCAGGTCTAAATTACAGGGTAAATAATTAGTCAGGTCTAAATCACAGGGTTATAATTAATCAGGTCTAAATTACAGGGTTATAATTAATCAGGTCTAAATTACAGGGTTATAATAAATAAGATCTAAATTACAGGGTTACAATTTGTTAGGTCTAAATTACAGGGTTATAAAGTCAGGTGTGACTGAAAAGGTTATTTAGTCAGGTTTAGCTTGAGCAGGGTTTGAAGTCTGATCTAATTAGTCTGGTCTATACATTGATGGATAAAATGATAAGTTGAATAATTTTCAAGCTGTTCAGTAAATCTGACAAACGGGTTTTACAATAATTAATGCAAGACATAAAATACAGATTTGAAAATAAAAATTTGAGTTCAAAGAAATTCTACTTTTATTGAATGGTTCACAATCACAATTCTAGCCGTTTAAAAAATAAACAATTAAGAAAATAAAATTGTTAAACTTTTTTGTTACATCAATAAACCTTCGTTTTATCAAATGCTGAGCTTCTTCGCCAGTAATCTCGCTAAAAATATGAAATTCAAGGTAAACATTGTTTAGCTCTTCCAGGTAATATAAACTCTGCTAAAAGGTAATATTTACTTAGGAGGTTTAAGCTTCTTACAGAATTGAAACATTATCAAATATAGGTACTTTTTGTCTATTCGAAGCAATCAATTCAATCAGATTCAGAACCTTTGAGTTGAGAATTTCAAGATCAAGCATTTCTGCGATTGGAAATTGATTGGATATTATTGTCCTTAAACGTTTGATCTTGATATCCAATGCGGGCACTTATTGATCTTTAAATTAGATAGTCGTCCGTCAAAGGAAATCGAAGATGAATTATATTATTGCTTGATTTCGAGAAGTTTTAATTCACATAGGGAAATAAACCGGATCCTCAAATATCAAAACTATTGAGATTTGCAAAAGTTTGAAAAAGTCCTAATTATGTCAGATTTCAATTGTTTCCTAACAGTTATAAAAACATGGGCGAGGCTTGCAGCAGCTCTTTCTAAACAGTATCTAAACAATAATAAGCTTAGAACCCAAACAGTATTTAAATTCTTTAACCCTCTGATGACGACCCTCTAATGCAGTCGACCCGTTCATGTTGATTCGTTCACGTCGACCCGTTCACGTTGACCCTGAAATTTTGACCCTGAAATGTTGACCCTATACAATGTTGATCCTTAAATGTTGATCCTTAAATGTTGACCCTGAAATGTTGACCCTTAAAGGTTGACCCTTAAAGGTTGACCCTTAAATGTTGACCCTTAAATGTTGACCCTTAAATGTTGACCCCCTATAATGTTGACCCCCTATAATGTTGACCCCCTATACTGTTGACCCTTTCATACCTGTGGTAGATTTTTCGTTTCCCTGCTTCAACATCAACATTGAAGTTCGCCAAGTAATTGTAGAAGTCCAGGGCCCCAGCACACAAATACCTGAAATATCGAGTGAATAAAGAAATCCAGGGCCCCAGCACACTGATATCTGAAATATCGAGTGAATAAAGAAATCCAGGACTCCAGCACACTGATATCTGAAATTTCGGGAATATAGAAAATCCTGGAACAAACCAACAAATATCTAAGATATATCCAGGGTCTCATTTTATACATATCTGAAGCATAAGGAAATATAAATCTAGAGCCCCAAAATCCCGAATATGAAAATGTAATACCTCACTCCTCAGCAAAATGAATATCAACCTAAAAATGTGATGGAGTTTATAAATATTGTTTGTACAGCAAAATAGTAACCCAGTTATTGAAAGTCCTAATTTTAACTCATTTTCAAAAATTTAAATATATCTTGAAGAAGATGAACTATCCCGAACTATTTAAACCAACTTTAAGAATAAGATCTATTCACCGAGCGGAGGAAGTCCAACCACAATAATTTCTTGTCAGAGCCACATTCTCCTCATTTTATCGTCCGAGCCAGATAAAACTATTTTTTAAGAATCGGGCCACGTTGAATGAAATATTGAATTTTAGTACAATGAAAAAAAATGTTTCTACAAATGGTAAACTTTTTTGCGCTATTTCAGATATTCCTGGTGTAAAATGCCGCAAAAAAAAAATCCATAGAACCATTAAACCATAGAATTTATCCGGGTGGTTCCATGGGGAAAATGATAGGCAGAGGTATGCCAAATATTTTGCTATTTTATTTTATATCGCAAAGGTTAGCCATTAAAGAGGCAGAAAAAGATTTAAGTTAACCTAAATAAAGTTTGACATCATTCTCATGGATTTGAAAATTCCAACATGATGTAAGTATTGCAATTTTTTAGTCTATCCATTTATTATGGCCTAATGTGGCCGGATAAAAAAATAGGCTTTTATCTTCAAGAATTGTAAATTTTAAGCACATAATAGTCGAGGGACGAGGATTCTAATGTGGCTCAGACGAGAAAATGAGAATGTGGCTCGGACGATAAATTGTTGTGGCTGGCCTTCCTCCCCTCATTCACCCAACCTGCCGAGTAGAGTAGCATGGGTAGTAAACACTGTAGCAACATTAACCTTCCACATCCTTCAAATAAAACATTTCTATTTTTTAAAAAACTAGTCTTTCATCTTCTATGTTAACATAAGCAAAAAATTCGCGAATTTGAAAAAAAATTCGAATTTTATGAAAGTCGGATATTGTTAAAGACTAATTTTTGAAATTTTGATCGTTCATAAACCTTTCCTGGGGTCATGTGAGGTCCCACACAAAAGTAAATATACAGATGATAGACATGTTGTCAATTTAAATCCTTCCCCCCCCTGAAAAGATTGCATTGAAGGGTATCATTGTGAATCGAACAGGCTGCGCTTCAGCTGAAATTACGATCACAAAAGTTACTTTTCAAAAATTTTCAGAATTATATAATTTTCATTTAAGTTATTTTTTATCCCTGTGGCTGTATAATTTAAGTTACCGAAAAAAATGTAGACAAAATTCCACAGTAAACTAATACATTGTTTAGGAACAGGCTGAGAAAATAATATTTAACTCTTTCATCGAAATCTTATTCAACTATTAGTTTCTAAAATCTCTCAACATTCACACAGTTTTTCTGGATTTTTATTTGAAAATATACAACATTTGAAGATTTGTAGAAATCGGCGAACAAATTCATAAAAAATAATGAAATACAATAAAATTATGAAAACGAAATAATTGACTCTAATATTGATTTGTTGACAAATTTCTTGTGAGAACTATTTTCTTAAGCATCTAATTAGTTTACTGTACAATTTTTACTTTATTTTTCGTCGTCGTCATTTAATAATTTAAAAAAAACCGATTCTGAAAACGTACCCACCCAAATTAATGATTTTGAACGTCGACTTTGCACTCAAACTAAAGTAATTATGCATAGTGGAAACGTTTTAAATGTCTAAAAAATTCTATAAAATTTGTCCCCAATACTAAATACTCAGTTCAACCACCATACAATCCCGGACACTCCCTTTAATTAAAATATTACCTTAGCATAATCAAAGCTACCCCGACCATCCACTCATGTACATGTACAACAACTAGAGGATTGTGTACAGTAGACGTACAGCAGTCTCCTCGGGGTGTACATGTTTCCTCCAAGGTCAACTTGAGTAGAGGATAAATAATTAGTTTTGAATTTCTTCTAAATATAAATTTAGCTCGTCTGTCTGTCTGTATCCAATAAACGTCAAAACGGCTGAACCGATCGGGCCCAAATTGTGTGTGGAACCTCACTTGACCCCAGGGTGGGTTTATGAATGATCATAGTTTTAAAAATTTGTGCAAGTTTTTTGTAAAATTTTGAAAATGCGCGAAAAAATATTATGAAATCCACAAACATTTTTTGTTTGTTTATTTTTGATACTGTACAAAGAGAAGATGCTCACAGATAAAGCCACGATGAAAAGTTGTAATAGAAGATGGGCGCGAAGCGCCCTAAAAGTCTAGTATCATTACATGCTAGGACAATTTCTCTGAGAAAAGAAATTGTATATGAAAATTAACTATGTTTCAACATCATAAGATTATAACCTTTTTATGTAAATGCAAGACTAGAACTGTTTTTCTATTTGAATAATCTTTCAGCAATAAGTCGTATTTCTTAAAGAAAATGAAAGAGCAATGTCTATTAGTGACTCCATGCAAAAATCTCGAGGCCCAATCTACAACAGTACACATGAAACATTAATCTAATTAAAAATGTGAAAATATAATGTGGTTTTCTCAAAAATGTTAACTTCTGACAATTCCTTAGTTGTTACTAAGGAATTGTAAATCAACTAAGCCACAAAACCCACTAATGAAAAAACAGTTAAAAAAGTGGATATCTAATTCATGATTAACAAACTTCCAAGAATATAGTTGTAAATGGAGCAATGTTATCTTTGCATAAAGGTCACTTTACATTACGCATACAATCCTTTAATGACAAAATATGGTTTGATTATAAATTGGTGAACAATCTCCTAAGTTAATAATTTAATCTCTTCCTGATAATTGAACTCTGCCACAAACTGTTTTACAACAAAATCAGCAGAAAATTAAGTTGAAATAAAATATTCATATTTTAATAAATGTACACTGTAATGTAAACGTATTGTATGACCTGAAAGTGAATGAACTATAATTAGAAAAGGTGAAGGCACCCCTATATATCTATCTATGAACAAAGGCCTACATATCTTTAGCACATAATTAAACAATCAAACAGAACTTACTAGTTGTATTTATCTTATTTATACACCCTGATAATTACAATGCATTACATTTATTTTGATAAATTGTGTTAAATCCAAACTTGATTTAATATTTTTTATTTCACAATAACTCAGTTAATGAACACTTCATGGGAAATTACTTGTACGGCTTTGAGACTTTGTAGATTTAAATAAATTTAACATTTTTCATTCTTTTTCATCAAAGTGTGTTCTTAATCATGACGATACCCATTAAGATATCCCTACTTTTCATTTTCAAAATTCGCCATTTTCACTCAAAAATATAACTTACGGATTTGCGCAGAAAAGTAAAGAATAAAATTTATGGATTCAATGAAGACAATAAAACTTGTAAGGGTTTACTTTAAATTACATCTACAGTCCCTTTAATGTACAGGGTGATTAAAAAACGTGGACCTATATGCGTATTTTCATACAGTTCTTGTTTCCATGAATTCAGATATCCGGCCGCTGATCCGATATCAAACAGGACAACAGTCGGGTTTCCTTCTATCAACCAGTTTCCTGAAATTTCAAAATTTGAAAGAAAAAATGAATGGTTTAGGGTCATATGTAGTTTTAATTTGCACATTCTTAGTTTTTCTTAACCCTGCTTATCCTGGTTTTCAAGTACCCCAGCAGAGATAGGGTTAATTACACATTTGAAATGGCGTGGTCAAGGACTTTTCACCAAAAATGTCAATTTTATCATTTTTTGGAATTTTTTTGCAAAATTTTTTACTTTATAACTTATTTTCGCAAAAAATCAATTTTTGCAACTGTGCAAATTTTTTTGCGGATTCTAAAAGTAGAGCATTAGAGCTTTCCAGTGGTGTCCAATAAAACGTCAAATTGACCCCCTACCCCCAGCCTTTCCTGGTTTTTAAGTACCCCAGCAGGGAAAGAGTTAAGAAAAAATTAAATTCTTACAGTGATAACCAGGAAATTCTGAAAGACGACTTTAAGGCTCAATTTATAACTTTAAATGGTCCAATGTAAATGAGACACAGAAATTGTGCATCACTAACAGACCTATTTCACTAAAAAGATGATTTTTAGGCAATTATTAAAATTATTTGCTGTGTAACAACATCAAAGTACAATCCATCCTTTTAAAGTTACAAATACACTACACATAACGTTACACAATACATTACACAATACATAACACATAACGTTACACAATACTATATATTCACATTTTTCTTGTTCTCACAGTATGTGTAATATATAAAATTGCAAATATATACATATATTCTCCATATGCATCTTTTGTATCCTCCCTTTCTTTTCAACAAAGATTGACACACATGACATATTTTTGTAGAAATTTAACCAGAAAGATGATTGATATCAATATCTCAATATTACTAGCACCAAAGCAATGTCAAGCATGATATACCTGTTTGAACATTCCATCCTTTAGATTTGATTTTCTGTAATGTTCTGGCAAGAGGAGAGCAGGGTGGTGGGCTAAATACTTCAACCTAAAGCAACAGATTTATTACAAATATTCAAATAATTTAACAAACAAACATTCTGTAATTTGCGACTTTAGAAACTATAAAATTATTCTATAAAGAACATTAAAGGGAGTGTTCGCGAAAATATCAAAGGGGTTGCGTTGAAATTCTTAATAAAATTTTGATTTGATTGCTATACTATAATTTTACTTAAACGTGATTCGTCTTTATCAGAGAAAGGGGTTGACACCGCTTAATACCCATGAGCACATGTAAATTAAATAAGCTGCATTATTCCACTCAACTGTAAATGATGAAATTAAATTAAACCTGATCCTTGTAAGTAGTACAATAGAAGAATTCCGAAAGTTTTCAATTTTAATGTTTACATATCATTTTTTTATACGTGATAACCTTTGACGACGATTTTGCCACTAGGTGTCTTGCTCACAACATTTCACGGATTTATCACTTTCGCGAACATTTCCACAAAAGGACAGAGTTGTGACGTTTTTTGGAGAAAACTCCAAAAATATTGGTCAGGGGTTGTTAAGATTTTTTGACTTTTCTAACTAACACATGAACCTAGCTTTAGACTCAAATTAGGGCTTTTATACCTGCTGCGGTACTGCCTGAGTCCTCAGTCATACTGCTTTAATACCTTATTTTATTTTTACCAGACTAAATCTATGGAAAGCCTTGATCAAAAGGAAGCAGATTGCATAATTTTTGCAAAGAAATTTTGCATATATTTTGGCACAGATGCTTTTAAAGGGAATTTTCGCATTTGCAGGTTTCTTTAAATGCACATTTAGTTCTTGAAAGATTTCGCGGACTTTTAGTTTTATAGCACATTTTAGGCCTAAAAACATGATATTGCAATAAATAATTGAAATTTTGCAAATTTGCAATTTTTTGCAGATAATTAAAGTATAGAGCCCCACAGTTTCTAATAGTACAACAAATGTTATAGATTTGAGTCACAATAAGGAAATAGATGGGGGTACCCACCGCCCCCCCCCNATGTGCGAAGGAATTGGTTAGTGGGCCAAGCATTATATATCTGCTGCCTAACTCACGACAACTAAGACATGAAAGTATATAATTATTTGAAAAGTCAAGGCCCTTTTTATTTGAATGGTTCTACAACTTGAAATATGGATATAGCAAAAGCAAAATAACATAATCAACCATTTTTGGAACGATAATCCCCTTTTGAAACAACAGTACGCAGGAAAATAGGCAAAAAATGAAAATAAATTGTCGTACACGATAGATCTATTATTTTTTAAATATACCTTATAGAAGCTTTACTCCTTAGCACAGTGTAAATACCTCCTTGTTTGTTAACAACCTCCCAGCTCGCCTCCAAACACCTGTACATAGAAAATTCTGTTTGGAAATCCATGATGCAGAGCATTATAAATACACCTTTTTGTTTCCAACCTCCCAGTAAGCCTCCTAACCCTGTACACAGAAATACAGACGTGAACACGTACAGTAGTGTTAATACTTACTTTTGTTTACAATCTTTAGCTGGCCTCCCAATCATCTATAAATAGAAAATAACTGGATTTTTACCTGGACACTGGACATATAGTGGAAATAACTGGATTTATCCCTGAACACTGGATATTTAGTGAAAATCACTAGATTTGTACCTGGATAGTGGACATTTAATTAAAATACTGGATTTGTACCTGACGCCATGGATATTCAGAGAAAATCACTGGATTTGTACCTGGAAACTGGACATTTAGTAAAAATCACTGGATTTGTACCTGGACACTGAATATTTAGTGAAATTCACTGGATTTGTACCTGACACTGGATATTTAGTGACAATCACCGGATTTGTACCTGAAACTGGACATTTAGCTGAATTAATGATGTAATTGGACGCATGGAAATTTTATAGATATGTTGACAGCTAAAAGGGGAATTAGAAATAAAATAAACTTAGTTATCAGCTTATGGTCAATAGCGTATAAAGTAGGATGCAAGGTGGTACTGACCCCCTAAAATAACTAATAATACCCCTAATGAAATAATAAGAACAAGAATTGCCGAGTTTCCTTTGAATCACAGAGAGTTGCTAATTAAACACATATTCAACAGTTTATTGTTTNCCCCCCCCCTCCCACCGGCAAGGATACTAACCAAGCGGTTGATGGGAATACTGTAGTTTTATTCTCCTTGAACTTAACTAAATCTTCTCCAGTCTCCATCCTGTACCCAAGTACACCCTGAACAGTACAAGATAAGTACAATGAACCTTGTAAGCATGCAGTACTCAAAGTATTGTACACCATGTACAGAATATTATAAACTTGAAATGATATGTTTTAAATAAAAGTACAATAAAACATCAGATTTTAATACAATAGAAATACATGTATAGTATGTGTACAAAAATAAATTTTGTGCAATATTTAGAGCGTTCACTGTACAATGCTTGAGGACAATAAACATTTTTTACAATAATTTAGGTAGGTTGTGTACAATACATCTGGCTAGTATTTCTATAAGCAAAAAGTCAAAAATATTTGATCAATTATGTATACATAAATCAATTATGTACATTAATCAATTATGTACATTAATCAAGTACTTTACTATAACCAGTTTCGTAGATATCAGTAACGTAACTTGATATTTATACTTGTCAATTGTAAATTTTACTCCAGAAATATTGCGAATAATCATAATTTATAGCTTACCTTCTTATCCAACAAACCTAGCCCGGGTTCATTCATTGTCAATTAATTGTTTTTATCTGAAAAATACTTTTGACACCTTAATTCATAGATGAAGAAATACTCATAATTTGTTTGAGATACCTAGCTTATACTTGAGTTGTTTGAGATACCTAGCTTATACTTGAGTTGTTTGAGATACCTAGCTTAAACTTGAGTTGTTTGAGATACCTAGCTTATACTTGAGTTGTTTGAGATACCTAGCTTAAACTTGAGTTGTTTGAGATACCTAGCTTAAACTTGAGTTGTTTGAGATACCTAGCTTAAACTTGAGTTGTTTGAGATACCTAGCTTATAATTGAGTTGGAAGCCCAAAAATTAAATATTAAGTTTACATCTTCCTTTTATCAAGATTAATGTTTCTGAACTTTTTAAAGTGTATAGTACTCATAGTACTTCAATTTCATCCATGAATCCCAGGAACGTTAACAAAACCTCTTCATGTTTTATCTTTAAAATTTCCGATATTCGAACTAAAATTTTATTCTGTTTTAATATGTTTTAATTTCACTTTAAAATCAAAGTATTTTGTGTTTTTAAAACTCTGGTTTTAATTTTTAGGACTTGTACGAACGAAGGTTTTTCTGTACTGCATGTTCTGATCTGAAACAATGTTATTATTTTTAAACCAGTTTTGTCTTATAACCGCACAGTAGAGAGCTTGAAACTTTAAACCACATGGCACCCGGTTCGGACGTCGACGGGTGTTTTTAGTTTTGAAGTGTTGACTTAAATTGTAAATTTATAAATAAGTAATAATTTTAGATTTCAAAGTTGAAAAATTATATTTATCGTTGTGTTTAAATGTTTGTTAAGAGCAAGGTTATAATGCAAGGAAAGTTATTTCAGAGGTGTACCCATCTTTTGCACTGCAGTGTACTGTCTCTGGGCCGTAATGTAAACACAAGACGGATGTCGAATCCTGATATGGGATCCATCTTTCACATAAAAAAATCAATGAAATAATCCGGTCATAGGAAACTATTATGTGAATTATCAAAATTATCAAACTTTAATGCTTTTAACCTCCTCGGATACTTAACGAACACTGATGCATCTATTCTTGTTTTCATATTCCGCCCTGAGAGAACTGGTTTCAATATGTACGCAGAGTATACACAACTGCATTTAACTTTCCTTGCATAATAACCTTGGTCTAGAGTAGTCTAGAGCAACTCCGCAATTTTAGTATTTCTATTTCTTAAAGTTTCAAACTCATGTGTACGCTAATTATTCTTCATTACAATGAGATTATAACTAAGGAGAGGTGAATAACCCAGTACCTAGTTTTTAGGACAACCCAGTACCTAGTTTTTAGGACAACCCAGGACCTAGTTTTTAGGACAACCCAGGACCTAGTTTTTAGGACAACCCAGGACCTAGTTTTTAGGACAACCCAGTACCTAGTTTTTAGGACAACCCAGGACCTAGTTTTTAGGACAACCCAGGACCTAGTTTTTAGGACAACCCAGTACCTAGTTTTTAGGACAATTCAGGACATAATTTTTAGGACAACCCAGGACCTAGTTTTTAGGACAATTCAAGACATAGTTTTTAGGACAACCCAGGACGTAGTTTTTTCTTGTATTGTAATTAACAAGGCCAAGTTTAGTCTAAATCTAGAGATGGACGCGTTTGGTTTTATTTAGTTCGTAAGTTCATCTTCGTGAACGACCCATTTCCTCATTTTTTTATCATTTTGTAAAAAATAGATTTTGTTTGTTCTCAAAATTCTTGTTCAAAATTGTCGTTCGTTTACTCATTGAACGAACGTTATGTAAAATCGTTCATTCAGCAAAATCTTCGTTGAGTAAAATCATTCGTTGAGTAAAATCAAATAGGTTGACAACCTATTTGAGTAAAATCGTACGTTCACCCAAGCAAAGTAATATATATAGATTAGGAGATATAAAAGAAATTGAAAATCTTGACTTAAAATCGATTCAATGAATTCTCGCTTTGTAAGACTGCATTTATTTAAATATATTACTGCAGAAAAAAGATTTCTAGTGCACTCATTTTCATAAAGAATGTTCATTCAATCCCCCCCCCCTTCTCCTGAGTAAGGTCCCTCCTCCAAGTAAGGTTAGATAATTGGAATGTCTACACACTCTGGTTGGATTCCCAAGCAAACACTGAGCCAGGAGTTTTAGCATCAGATTTTATATAAAGAGACTGTTTTCAAACCTTTAGTTTATCCTTTCTTTGAAGCGTTCTATAATTCTATTCTAACATGTTACAGTAAGGAGTAAGGACACTAACATATCGTTTGTAATACTGAAATTACTTAAAGATTTGCGAAATTCCGAACATTTTGTTAAAAATTTCGACCATTTTGTCCAAAGTTCCGAACATTTTGTTTAGAATTCTAAACATTTTGTTCAAAATAATACGAATATTCTGTTCAAAATTCCGAACATTTTTTTTAAATTACGAACATTTCGTTCATAATTCCGAATATTTTGTTCAAAATAATACGAACATTGCTTTCAAAATAATACGAACTTTTGTTAAAAATTGCGAACATTTTTTTATAATTCCGAATATTTTGTTCAAAATAAAGAAAAATTTGTTCAAACTTACGAATTTTGCTCAAAATTACAAACATTTTGCCTGAAATTACGAACATTGTCCAAAATTACAAAAATCTGTCCGAAATCACGAACATTTTGTTCGAAATCACGAACATTGTGTCCGAAATTACGAACATTTTATCCAAAATTGCGAATATTTTGTCCAAAATTACGAAAATTTTGTCCGAAATTATGAACGGAATATGTAAGATATCCTAAGCAAAATTTTAGAGATAAATTTAAGAAAATGACCGAGAGATTGCCGTTTACCAGTATTTTGCATCTCTAAAAATATGTTCTCCATGATGTTTAATGGCCAGATTAGCAACAAAAAAACGATAAATTTTATTTTAGTCTTTATTTAAAACCTTACATACATAAATAAGCTATCAAAAGAACTGAGTTTTTGTCACAAACTCTGATTATCTAATCCCTTTATCTTTACAACCCCATGTCGCACACCTTTGACATTTCAAACATATTTAATAGGTTTGATAATTTAAGTTTGAAATATCAAAGTTTTACCCAATCAAGTCGCAAAAATATAGGGATTAAAAAATTTGAGTTTGTGGCAAAAACTCAATTCCTTAATTAACTCTTAAACTTCCTATCGCTAAAAAGGCGTCTTCTCCAGGCTCATTTCATTTTTCATTATAAAGTTCTTATCGAAAAGAGCTTTAAAATCAATATTCCCTTTATTATTAAATTACTTTTTTAGATAATAAATCACAAAACCCGGGTCTATAAAAAATTGTGTTGAATTGGATTTTTAATTTCTAATTACTAAAATGTAAAAGTTATGGAGATCATCAAGGAAAGTTAAAAAAAAAGTTGCCATTTGAAATATCAAAATCAAAATTTTAAATTTTGAATTATATTAATTTGGAAAATTCCAGCGGTAAAACAATATCAAATAAATTTGATTCAATAGTATATAAAATATTAAATATTTTAAATCTATTGTTACTAAAGAAAAATAAAATTCATAAACTGTAAAATGTTTTTTTTAAATAAATTTTTTATAATTTACAGAAAATGTAGGACACATCACAAAAATCTCCCTTTCAAAGTTATAAACCCTCCCTTAGCTAGGTTTCACTCTCCCTTTCAAAGTTATAAACCCTACCTTATTTAAGTTTCACTCTCCCTTTCAAAGTTATAAACCCTACCTTAACTAAGTTTAAATCTCCCTTTCAAAGTTATAAACCCTACCTTAGCTAAGTTTTACTCTCCCTTTCAAAATTATAAACCTTACCTTATCTAAGTTTCAATCTCTCTTTAAAAGTTGTAAAACCTACCCTTAACTAAGTTTCAATCTCTCTTTAAAGTTATAAACCTACCCTTAACTAAGTTTCAATCTCTTTTTAAAAGTTATAAACCTTCCCTTTAAGTTTTACTCTCCCTTTAAAAGTTTTAAACCCTCCGGTAACTATGTTTCACTCTCTGTTTAAAAAGCTGGAAACTCTACCTTTGTGATTTGTGAAGTTTCCCTTTAATAAAAATTGTTAATTTGTTAGAAATTTCCCTCTCCTCCCCTGAGAATTTTCACATCCCAGCACGATTAAGTCTACTTAAACTAAACAATTTGATACTGGTATAAAAGTGTTATCAATTAAGGGATGTAGGGGGGGAGAGGGGGTACATGGTGACAGGGGTTAAGGGGTGGGGTTGTAGTTAAACACATTTGACCTATTTTACTTGACATAAGGTCGTGTTTTCAAGTTGACTTTTTACGCTAGGCAAATATCTTGCGGTCGTTGCGAACATGCGTCAATGCAGAATTGGCCCTGAAAAAGTCCTCGCATTCGTGTGACGCAAAATACGCGGTATCCACGAGAATTAAATCTGTAGGATTATTCAGTTATCGACCAGATCCTTGGTAGAAACCTTAAGATTAAATATAAAATTCACATCATATTCATACAAATACAACATTCATTTTTATAGAGATACGGAAGCCGAATTTTAAAAATTTCAGCCGCAGCCTAAATTTGAGACGCGGCTCAAATAGGGTTGGATCCACTAAAAACCGTATTTAATTTTTCCAGATTTAAGCCGGCGCTTAATTTGTCGGATTTGAGACAAAGCTCAAATTCATTAAATTCGTACTCAGTGAAAACATTAAGAAAGAGAAGTGATTGCGGTCAGTGCTATTTCTTTAAAGGGACACGTAAGCGTAATTTCAAGTGAACTTCCATGCAAAGATGGCAATGCACGATTCAGAATTGAAACCTGTATCTGATGTGGAATATTCTCGATTTCTAGGGTTAAAAGTGTTCAATTCTGGTTTCCTGTTGCAGTAGAAATGCGCAGGTCACTTTGTAGAGTCACCACAATCGAAAATAATAATTCTTTAGAATTTTAAACATCAATTTATAATTCATACACGATCAAATAAAGCTTTTAATGGTACCGTTGTAAATCGGACATTTTTATATTTGCATGGAGGGTCAACTAAAATTACAATTACATCTTTATTACAGTTAAAAGCTTCATGTAGCGACATTTAAGATAAGAACCGAGACGACAATCCTGCATGGAACTTAAATTTACGTTAACAGATTTGTTTAATGGGTCAAAAAACCTCTGCTTAAAATGTATTAAACCGAGTCCGAATTTAATGAATTTGAGCCGCGTCTCAAATTCAACAAAACCCGGTTTCAATTGAGCGCCGGCTAAAATCTTGAAACATTAAATACATTTGTCAGTGACTCCAACTATTTTTAAGCCGCGTCTCAAATTTAAGCCGAGGCTCAAATTCTTTAAATTCGGCCCCTTCCACTATAAAAAACCGAATGAATGACCTGCTTGTTTAGTTAATCAATAAACTGACATTTTAGATTTGACGTGTATAGTGGTAGAGGAGAGCAGTATATCATATATCCTGGTAGTGATAAATTAGTAGTTTGAAACAACATGAACAGGTAATATAACAATGCTTTTTTATGATTAAATAAAAATCTTTAAAGAGATTGTAACTCAAATTTTGACAACTTGAAATATTAAAGGTTTACACCATCAGGTTGCAAAGATATAGGGATAAAAAAAATTGTAGTTTTTGTTCACCTCTATGTTTTTTTACATTTAGGATATCTTCCATAAGAATAAAATGCACTGTTTTTAAAATAAAAGTAGCTTTTAAATATTCTTATCTTTTCTACAGTAGATATCACATACATAGCAAGAGCGCATGGAATATCGTCTTGAAATTTATTTAAAAGTTTATGACAGCATTTTACCAGGGGGCGGAAACGTCATGGGGGTGTGTCTGTACCAAAAGAGTGTGTGTAAGGATACCGTACCAAAGGTGTGTACTGTATAGTTACAGTACGTATGAATCTCAGTATTTGTACAGTCTAGGAGAGTACATTTGTTTATTGTTAATTGTTTACTTAAAAATAAGTTTTAAATGCATGTAATATATTATTTACATATTTAAGTCAACACTATAAAGCCAAATTTTCATGCAAAGAATATAACTTGATTAAAGTTTACAACAAATAAAGTCGTTATTCAAGCTTAATTTTAATTGACAACATTGTTCTGCAATTTCCTTGATTGTAATCATGTTGTGTGTCTGTACCAAAATAGTATGTGTTAGGTTACCGTACTGGTCTACAAAGCAGTGCCACTGGCTTTCTCATGCCAGACCAGCGCCATTTTCTTTCCCTTTATTCCTATTCCCTGCATGTTACGCTTTATCATTGTTCTGCACATAAAGAAAGCTGCTCAGATGTTCGCATCTTCAAAGGATTGAATACAATTCGTGAAAATAAATCTCAATATCATTGTTGAGAGTCATAAATTTTTGAATAGTTCTTCAGAAACTATAATTTTCTATTTTTATTTCAAGGTAAGTTATAGCCCTGAAAGTGAAATATCATGGACAGCAATCAATTTAGTTTACTTGGTTTTCCGCGGCATTTGATCTTTAATTGGTTGAGAATAGGACTTTATAAAAAACTCTTGCATGTATCCATATATCTGGGATTCACTGTAGATAATTTTAGTTCTTTGTAAAAGATAAAAATGTATTTACACAATACAGATTTATTTTGCATACTCCACTTTTTATTTTGATCCACAGAAATCCCCAGAAAGAAATTTATTTATTACTCTCTTCATTTTCTTGTCCTTATATCTTGGCAACCTTTGATATTTAAGCTGTGAATTCAGCTAGATCAAACGGTCAAATTTTGAAATATTACACCAATCGGAGATGGAGATGGAGGAAAAGTTATTCAGATCTTTATTTCAGTTTAGACTACAAATCTAAGTTTAAATAATGCTAGACTTTTTTAATTTCGAAATTATAATATAATGTACTTTTTCATTTGATCTTTATGATATAAAAATTGTATTCAGGTTATTCTGTTTGCTTGCTCTTATTTCTTTGTCGTCTGCTAAAATAAGTTCAAATGACTTCAATATTAACGATCTAGGTGAGTGCAAATAAATGAACAAAAAACAGTAATTGTTTTTATTAATTAACTTTAATTTGTGTTTTTTAACAACTACTATTTGTTTAGTAAACTGGGAAACCTTTCAGTTACCAGAGAAGATCGAAGCTCAGCAAGGCAACCCTTTTAAGATTTTAAAAAAATTTTAAATTAAAAAAAAAAATTGGTTTGGATTTTTTTATCTTATTTTTGTTTTTATTAATATTTTTTGTGTGTTTATGTTTTTGAGAAAAGTTATTTCGAATTTAAAGCAAATAGATGACAAAGCAAACCGTGTTTTTTACAATCAGATTTTGTTTTGTACATAAAAAGAGGAATGTTTTTTTAAACCTAACATTTGCTTTGTACAAAATAAGAGGAGATTATGTACAGGTGGAAATGATCACTTACTCATCAAGGATACACCTGGCTCTCCTATCAATCCTGATGACTTCAGGTAGTAAAATTATTATTAGTACACATGGATCCAGACTACTTTGAAAAGTTCCATCTTAACCATGGATGGGGTCAACTTTGACGTGTCGCAACACTATGACCTTTAATTTTATCTTACAAACATAATATAATTGTTCTAGCTCGATACGTATTTTAAACTACAAAGCCCTTGTTTTTTAGTTTTAGTTTTTAAGAAGTAATTGGCAAAATTCTAATCTATTTTTTACATGAGAGCTTGCAACCTTTGGATTAAGCTGTAAATAGATACCTGGTTTGTATATATCGTAGAATAATAAACATATATATATTGTACAATGTACCTACACAATATACTGCAGTATTTCATCGAAGTTTAGAATTTTTGATTGTTTCAAAAGGGCAAAACTTTTACTCTTTCTCTACAGTCAACCAACACTCTAAAAGATTTGAATGATCAGACATAAATACAAATCCATGGATTTTATTATGACATTGCAACTTTTTTACTTTTCTTGACTATATTTGACTTCAACAATTTATTCATTACGAAATTCATTAGAAAATTAAAATTGTTCAATAGATTCCAGATTCAATTAATATCAGCAGCATTTATCCAGCCAGTCTATTTTTTGTATAGAAAGAGCTGGGTCCACATTAACTGGCTTCACCAGACGGGCTGGTACGAGTTTATGTGTATGTTGTACAATAAAACTAGTGAATCCTTGTACCGGTTCTGATCATACAACGTTTGGACCTATGTATATTGTGCAGCCCACACCCCCTTTAGTTTTCGCGAACACTCCCTTTAAACATGAATATTTAGAGCATCTGACTCCGTGGACGATGAATCCTTTGGTATAGACAACCACAAGGATCCTATTGAGAGTGCTGGTCTGTTTGAGGGTGATATAGATAATGTGTCTATGGATGAACTTCATGAGATCGGAGACTCTGCAAGGGTCAGATTCTAATATATTTTCATAATTTTGATTACCGACCCTTCATTTTCAAAGTGGAATGTTTTATTCTTGAAAATTGTTTAATTCTGACAATATCCTTCTCTGCTGCATACATCCACAATTGCAATATTTTCAGAGAAATCACATATTTTAGCTTGAAAACAAAGATACAGAGTGTCCCACGAAACATGACAGTTGGTGAATAATTTCATAATTTGTTAAGTTCTTTGATACAAAATAGATTAATTATCGTTAATAAGAAGTATAACATGGCAGTCATTTTATAGTAAAATTGATTTCAAAGTAAAATATATTTGAGTATAAGATAGAATACACTGCAAAAAGTCTTTAATATCTAATATAGTATATGGAAGAAGACATTCAAAACCATTTGCCAACTGTCATGTTTAGTCGGACATCCTGTACCTAATTCATCCTTGATCAGACAAAGATTTAAGGAACCGTTGTTAATCGAACAGTTCACTCAATAAATGGAGTGTCACTTCAACACTTAAAATTACGTCGAATATTCCATTAAAAATAATGACATATTATACTAGTTAAAGGGCCTGGCATTGCCTGTGGAAAAAACAAATTTTTTACGTGAGCCAAGAATAGATTTTTATTATCATTGTTTTTTAATCATTTTGATTTTCTAATGATAAACTTTAGCTGATATCATTTTTCTTTTGTATTTTAGAACGCCATCAAAGACGGCTGGCGAAAGGAACCCTTATTCTTTGATATAAAATTATAAAAAGTTGTTCAGATATATTTATTGCAGAAAAAAAAGATTTTTTGAGAACCTTGCTTGAAGCTAACAAAAAAATTCAAAATTCATAAGCTTAACAGATGTCATTTTAATTGCATCTTTTCAATAGCAAAATGTTCATGTTGATAAAGCTTTGAATTAAATCTGTTACTGATTTTTCATCACTTTATATTTCATAACGAAAAAAATCACAAAGATTTAATGTTTTTTCCTAAGACCGAAATCTTTTTATCTGCGTTTCCAGGCATTAATTTTCTCTTTTTCTCGGGTCTTATACTGTTTCAGAATTGACGGCTTTTTGTTACATATTATATGGTGTTATTTGTCAGTATGTTTGATGGTAACCACAATTATAAAAGAGTTTTACTAAAAATAAAAAGAGGTAAAGTTAGAACTAAAGTTCCAAGGTATGTTTAAAGAATAGATGGTGTCCAGTGGCCGGATGCAACTATACCCTATCTCATCTCTAATCAGTTCTCTCAGTATGAAAGATCTGTAATCGCAAAAGCAATGAAGGAAAATAATATTTTAAACATCTATGTAAAAATTTTTTTACGTATTTTTATTTAAATACAATTTTTAATATTGTAGGGTTACCCACAAAGGATAAGACTTGAGAAACGAATATGCGATTTAAAAAAAAACTTTTATTACATTTCCAGTTTTGTTTCTTTCTTTCACTCATTGAAAGATTTTTTCAAGCCTCAAACCAAAATTCTACCCAAAAAAATCAAATAAAAAAGTTTCATCTCGTCTTTATAGTCTCATCCTTTGTGGATAATCCTGAATATTTACAATAAACTTTTTAAATAAATTTGTTAAACTGTTTAAAATATAAATTAAAATTAGAACTACCATGACAACACATGTATCAGGCAAGTTAAATTAAATTAAATCATTAGAAAAAAAACCTTTAATTTTCATCTGAAAATAATCATATTCAAAACCTTTTTTTCTCATGTAAAAGGCAAAAAATTAATTCTCGACACCCTGTAACTAAACAAAAAATGTTCAATATTTAATCCGTTTAGATTTCGACCACGTACATCAGAGACTGCGTATATTCACATCATGAAGGGCAGCGGATGCAGTAGTTCTGTTGGTAGAACCGGTTCTGTACAATCTGTCTCCCTGGGGAATGGATGTGTCTACACAGGTCAGAGCACGATATTTAAAGAGACTGTTGGCGTATTTTCAAGGTAACCTCTTACATAGAGATAACTATACCTTTAAAACCGTTATCTGATCACTAATGAGAAAGATATTGTCGTTTTTCTAGGTTTAAACGTATTTAATTATGTTTCCCCGCAGTATAAATAAGGCATTTTAATAGGGAAACCACAATGGAAAATAATCAGTTTTCAAAATTATAAACATTGATATATAATTCATACTTGATCAGACAAAGCATTTGAGGGAACCATGGTGAATCATGCATTGTCATCATTGTATGGAGGGTTACTTGAAATCACGTTTGTCCAGTTCCTTTAATATAGAGAAAAGGTAGCATTTTTAAGAACCGTTATCAGATTAAATTTCCAAATCCAAAACATCTCTTGTTTTAGGAATTGTTATGCACGAGCTTATGCATGCCTCTGGATTCTGGCATGAACAGAGTCGAGCAGACAGGTGGACTTTTCGAACCTTTTCATCAAATTCAAAATTATCAATTTTTACCTTTTATTTTCCCTTTTCTTTTATGAACAAGCCAAATCAAGATCAGAAAGAAATTTAACTAAACGTGAAAGTGCAGTTTAAACTGTGATGTAGGAAATTGTGTCAAAGCTTTTTACTCCTTCCTTTTCAAAAATCTATTTATAGCAAAATTACGCTTTATCTATGCTTGGGAACCCAGCGCTGCCAAGGTTACTAAAAGTTACTCCCGCCGTTTACCCGCATTTGAAAGATTTTACCGGGACACTAAATTTTCGCTATTAAAGTCTTGACTTAGAATCTCAAAACTAAACTAAGAACATTCCCGTGCAGGGTCACCCGGATTCCCCAATCAAAGTTTGAGGCAAATCCGCACAGGGGTTCCTGAGTTATGATCGGATAAACAAACAAACACCCACCCAAACAGAGATTACAACTTTATATGTATAGAAGTTGTAATCTCTGTTTGGTTGTCTGATCATAACTCATGAACCCCTTGGCCGATTTGACTCAAATTTTGATTCCCCTGGGCCACGCTGGGTTCCAAAGCTAGTACAAAATATTTTGCAATCTATCTCACCAAGCCTTTTTATTTTCAGAGATAGCCACATCAGGATTAACTGGGATAACATTATTCAAGGTATAGATAGAATCACTAGCTATACTTCTAACCACGAAGTATGCCTTGGCTTTTGGCTTGAATAATATATATCTATAAAAGTAACTTTTATGTTTTCCTTTTAAACGAAGGGATGAAATACAATTTCTTGAAGTATTTATAATAATCATATTATTTTCACAAATCTAATCTTTGTAAAATCTTACTAATAACTGTTTGCAGAGTTGGAATACAACTTCTAGCTCAACTAGATCTAATCTGGGACTCAACTAGATCTAATCTGGGACCCAACTAGATCTAATCTGGGACTCAACTAGATCTAATCTGGGACCCAACTAGATCTAATCTGGGATCCAACTAGATCTAATCTCGGACCCAACTAGATCTAATCTGGGATCCAGCTAGATCTAATCTGGGACCCAACTAGATCTAATCTGGGACTCATCTAGATCTAATCTGCGACTCAACTAGATCTAATCTGGGACCCAACTAGATCTAATCTGGCACTCAACTAGATCTAATCTGGGACCCAACTAGATCTAATCTGGGACTCAACTAGATATAATCTGCGACTCAACTAGATCTAATCTGCGACCCAACTAGATCTAATCTGAGACACAACTAGATCTAATCTGGCACTCAACTAGATCTAATCTGGGATCCAACTAGATATAATCTGGGACTCAACTAGATCTAATCTGGGATCCAACTAGATTTAGTCTGTGACCCAACTAGATCTAATCTGGGATCCAACTAGATCTAATCTGGGACCCAACTAGATCTAATCTGGGACCCAACTAAATCTAATCTGTGACCCAACAAGATTTAATCTGGGACCCAACTTACGAATTATAGTTTGAAGGGATAGAATACAATAACTTAAAGTATTTAGAATCATATCAATTTCTTTGAAAGTCACAGATCTCATCTTTGACCCATCTTACTAATTACTGTTTGCAGGGATGGAATACAACTTCTTGAAGTATGATCTGAACAAGATTGATCATCTTGGTGCTGAGTACGATACCTGCTCTGTTATGCACTATGGTGCATTTGCCTTTAGCAAGGTAAACAAGGACTTAAAGCAATTTGTTCTCATCATTGAAGAGTCTTTTCTCTTTGTAATTTAATAGCTCCCTGGGAAGTTCAGACTGGATGCAGATGTCTGATCAACTAGAGTCCCACTTAACGTTCAAGATTGCTTTACTTGGTTCTTCAAAAGAGTTTTTTTCCAATCAAACAATTTTTTTTCCAAAGGTTCACACCAACCTTTTTGAAGAGAGCAATGAGCTAAACTTGTGTTGATTAGGCCAGAGACCCAACCATTGAACCAGTAAAGGAAGAGATCAATGAACTGAACTTGTGTTGATTAGACCAGAGACCCAACCATTGTACCAGTAAAGGAAGAGAGCAATGAACTAAACTTGTGTTGATTAGGCCAGAGACCCAACTATTGTACCAGTAAAGGAGGGCGAATGTCAGCTAGGACAAAGAGAAGGATTCTCTGACACGGATATTAGGAAGCTAAATACACTTTACCAGGTTAAAATTTTTTTAATTTTTTCATTTTTTGTGATGATTTTATTGAGCTTGAGGTTCAAAAATGGGAGGAGACTACACAGAGAAAATAGTTTGTGATAACATACAAAAAACCAAAGCATGATTTGTTACACAACTGTTGCATAAATCTCGTTTTTGAAACTCTGAGATTTGAATTAATGATTAGCTTTGTATTGCTAGATGAACATATTCTCTAGCTAAAGCTCTTCAACGAGGGAGGAGGTGCAGAGCCTCCAATCCCCGCAAAACCATATCCGTGCCTCTCGCTACGTCTCCAAGCCTTTGCTATTTTGTCTCCGCACCCCTTCCCTCCTCCAACACAGAAAATATGTTGTTTCACAATATAGTCTTGGGTAAACTGATTAATCCAAATATTCCAGTGCTCTGGTTACCCTCAAGTTGGAAACTCTGTAACTAATCCAGAAGCAACAACAACTACCGTCAAGCCTTGGGTCAAACCCAAGTGTGAAGACCAAAATCAGTAAGTTTTCCCAAAGACTTTGCTAATTAAAGATAGCGCATTAGAAAATCTACGCAAATTTGACGCATTTTCCGGGGTACCGAAAGATCGTAACAAATGTCATCTTTTCCAGAAATGCTGACGTTTCATAATGTCGTCTTTTGTTAATTGTAAGGAATTGTATAGTTATTTAAAAACAAAATGAGGAAACAACTTTGGTTTTTCTATCTTGAAATATTTAATTTGTCCATAGTCCATAAAAGTGACTAGTGGAAAGACAATGAACATAATTTACAGAATTCATCACTTATTAAGTTAAAATTACGACGATATCTTCCTCATTGTTACCCAGATAAATGTTTAAATGGTACCGTTGTTAATAAGACCTTTAATGGGTTGGTAACTTGAAATTACATCTATCAGTCCTTTAGAACATTTACTTTTGGTTTGAATTAAGTATATTAAGTGTTTATAAAAAGAAAATTAATGTCACGTATCTTGTATGCATGTAACCTTGTACTTTTCAACAGTAATCAATTATTTCATTACTTTTTCATTCAAGATTGAATTCTCTCTCTACCTGATTTAAATGAATTATTGAAAAATAAAACTTAATAATATTTATTTAACAATGTAATAGTTTTTACAAAATCGGGATATTTCTCTGTAAGGAATTCCTATGATCCAATTAAAGAGCCTTCGTCCAAACTTTTTTCTTTTTGGATCTGCTGGCATTGTAAACGCAGACTCTCCTATTCTTGGTTGGCTTGGCAGTTGGGTATCATAAATACTTTGCTTGGCAGTGGCACCGACGAACCTGAATCAATCCGAATTGTTCATTGAACTTGTATACATAATACTCCGAAATTTGAAGACGAAATTTAGACAACCTCCATGTTCACTGCTCAATTGCAGTATTTTATGTTCATTGAACTATTTAATCAAAAATTGAGTCCAAAAGTCTTCTTTATATTTCCCAGTTTTATTTTCACCAATGTATTTCTATTAATCCACCTTTTTAAAATCCTCCAATAATTCATGCCTCAAAACTATTATAATCAACTTTAAAAGACTTCTAAGTAAAAGGTCGTCCATTAATTCGCATTTTTAACGAAACTTTCTGTGATATTTTTTCTTTAATGGTGGATATTTTGAAAAAAATCCACATAAATTAATTGAAGAGTAAGACTAATACATTAATTTATGCGATATCATTTCTTTGCCTAAGATTAAACAGAAGACGACATTTACCAAAAATTGATTTACCGTTCATATTATTTGAAATTTCTGGACCCATCTCTTCTTCATCGCCTAAAATTCCATTCCATAGAACCTCAGAAAAAATATTTGACGACATCTGAAAATTTTCACTAACAGTTATTAGCTATTTTTAATACAAAAGAGATGCGTAACTTTATCACAAATTCCGCTATAATTCACCAGACGATCCTGATATCCAACAAATGAATAAATAAATTGAAAAATACAAATACAAATGTATTTTAGTTATTTTTTAGCACAAAACATTCACAATTGTGTTAAATAACTAAGGTTTTAATGTCGATCGTTAGACTCTCAAACAACCAAAATAACCAATGACGTCAAAATACAGCTGTACAGGCGTACACAATAGTCGGATAAATTTCCAACGCCTCGTCTTTATAATTAGCAAAGTCTTTGAGTTTTCCCACTAGAAAAAAATAACTAGAATTGTCCTCCGATAATATCAAAGTATTTCTTTCAAGTCTGTAAAAAAAGAATCAAAATTCATCATGACAACAAGAGAAATTGAGTTTTTGCAACAACCCAAATTTTCTAATCCCTACATCTTTGCAACCTAATGCTGTAAATCTTTGATGTTTCAAACTTAGAACAATTTTGATCTTACAGAATGTATTGTTTGAAAAAAAAATGTTAAAGGTCTACGACATCGAGTTGAAGCGATATAGGGATTCGAAAAATAAAGTTTGTGCGACAGACATAATTCCTTTATGTACAGATACTGTGCCACGTGGGCCAAGGCTGATGAGTGTAAGAAGAATCCCAGCTGGATGTTGGTGTACTGTCCTGTAGCTTGCGATCAGTGCAAGGTATTAAAAAAAAATTTTGAAAATTAAACAGAAAATCTGTGAAAATTTGTAAATAATAATAAAATGGCAACTTGAACAGCAACTCCAAAGTTAAAATTAGAAAGGGAATGTGAAGCGCCTTAAATGCCTAGTATATCAAACATTGATATATCATGGCAATTGTGGGAGAGAGATGAAAACTTGTTTTTTGTCAAAGTATATTGTTAGCTCATGATGAGGAAAAAATAAACAATTGTTCCTTTTTAGATTGATTGTGAGGATAACAATGTTTACTGTGATGATTGGGCTGCTATGGGAGAGTGTGATAAGAACCCAGATTACATGAATATCTACTGCGCAAAGGTGACACATGGAGTAGATTATAGAATTAAGGCCACAAGGGCTAAACCAAAGAATTTGAGTCATTGCCACAAACTTAAATTGACTTATCCTAATATCTTAGCAACATGATAGTGTAAACCATATTTTAAACTTAAATGAGTTGATCTAACAAAAAGCATAGTTTGAAAATTGTAAGGTCTACAACATTGGGTTGCAAAGATAAAGGGATTAGAAAATCAGAATTTGTGACTCAATCTTTTCCGGGAAATGGCAGTTGTTCACTTTTTTCATGTCTATATATATTCTCTACATTATTGTAATTAATCTAACTTTTGTATTATTATTATATTATGTTGTGTTTAGTCGTGTAAGGTTTGCTCTGGGGGAGATTGTATGGATGAGAATAAATCTTGCTCTGGTTGGGCAGCTCAGGGATACTGTACAAATTCAAAATATAAGGTAGGTTATTTAAATAATATGAACTATGAATTATATGAGAGGGGGGGGGGGCATGATTAAAAAATGAAAACTTATTTATTATCAATTTAGAAATTCACAAAAAATTGTAAATCTGCGAATGTTTTTTTGCGTTTTTTTATTATTTAATTTAAAAACTGCAGACAGTTAAAAAACATTAAATTAAAAGTAAAATTTATCGAATACTCATTCCTGTTCCAAAAACAAAATTATAAGTATTTTTGAAATATTGAACTGTGCAATTGTATCTGGTTCGAAATATCTATCATTTTGTTTTTGTTCAGGAGTATATGTCCTTGAGATGCAAGAGCTCATGTAACAAGTGCTAGTCAGCCATATATTATCCATATTATATACCCTGTATCCAAATATAGTATTCATATCCAAATATTCTGTAATATCCAAAAACATGTATTTTGTATCAAATCGAAAATCAAAATCTATCAAATGTCAATTTAAAAAAAATATTAAAAAAAATAAATGTTTTTATAAAATATATATTTGGCTAAACATCCATTTTAATTATTTTTTTACATATTTATCTAAATGACTATGATTAAGCACATTTAATGCAAAATTTATCATATTTATTGTAATTGTTATATTGCTGCAGAGAAATAAAAGTATCCTCAAAAACTGTTCCGTAAATATAATAGATAAGCATTAGATATCGGAAGCAGGGATGGCAAACTCTGTTATTTTTCCTTGGCTCGAGCCTGAAAAAAAAAAATTTTTTTGGAAACTGACTAATTTATTTCTTTGAAAACAATTATGGTAAAAAATTGAATTCTTATTTTTGTGCTTTTGTTAACTTAAGTAGTTGGCAGCAGTTCAACTCCAGCAGTAGATATGCAAGTCTTAATTTTCACTTTTCACGTACCTGAACTGATTTTAATGTTCGTGTTTGATTCATCTTCTTTTTCTCGGTTAAAAAATACTTTCAGACCCGAAACAGTTTCTAACTAAATAATGTGATATTGGTTTAACAAAAACAATTCGGGATTTTATAGAAAGATCATTATAAACAATCCTATTTTACATTAAGATTATCCATGAAAAGCTTTATATACAGTGATAACCAGAAAGGATGAGACTACAGTGACGACTGTACAGAATTTTTGTAGATTTTAATCAATCTTGGTTTCCTGAATAATTTGCCTTGTTTCTCTGTTTTCCAAATCGTTTAGTAAATAAATAAAGACAATGTGTACAAGAGAACCGATTCAAATTCAACTTGATAAAAATATTCAATGAGGTTTAGCTTTTCACTAAAGTCTCTTTCTGTGAGGTTAACCCTGTATCCTCCTAGTTTAATCCTTTCTAAAAATTTTATTAATTTGAAATTTGACTTTTTTCATATTGTAATTTAGTTTCTAAATGTTGTTAAATTACACCACTTTAAAAAAAAACTGGACAAAAAAAACTACCTCAGAATCTCCGAAAGGAATTTTATACCGTTCTAGAACTACAACATGGCCGAGGAGAATGTTTGACAAGTCGTCTTTGTTCATCAGGAGGTTATGTTGTTCCTCAGTTAAAGATTGGAAGGCAGAGTTAGTTGGTGCAAATATAGTGTACGGTAGAAGGTCCTAAATCAACAAGTGTAAAATAGTGAGTGAACAATTAAGCAACTTCATATTAAAGCATTGAAGTGAACAAAGATTTTTAGATATTTGTAAGGGATGAAAAGATTGATAAAGGTTGTCCTTGCATTGTGAAATAATTTGCAGCAATCATGTGTTAACCAAATTTTATAAGTAGAGCGCTTGAAACAATAATCATCAAATACACTCGTCTTGTCATTTCTAAAATGTGGTCTTCCATTTAAATCCTTTACCGAAGATGTAAAGAATTTCGGTCAGATTTCACTTCATTAAAACCAATAGTACCAATCGTCTAATTTTGTTATCATTTTAAGATATCAGGACACAATATTCTGGAAAGTTTATAAGTCCTACAGCTTTAGATAGCTCTCAAGCATCTTAAAGACAATCTATAAGCTGCCATCTTAAGTGGGGCCCCGCATATAAAAAAGATGCTCGTTAAAAACAAATTAAGAAATGTATTTGTATTACCTGAAGATCAGTGTTAGCCCCAAAGGCAGTAAAGAGAGCCATAGAAATATTTGAAAATTTTGGAACTCCTGCTAGTATTTGAGTAACAGTTTCAAGCTCTTGATTAGGGTAAGATTTCGTTGAATAAGTGTTTACTTCAGATTCAGTGAGTTCTTCCTCAACTATTGTCTGAGAATCATTTTCAGGAGAGTTTAAATGATCATTAGTTTCATCCTTGTCTGAATCTCCATCTGAAATCTCAGTTACAGTTTCAAGATCAGTATCAGGAGATGCTTTGGTTAAAGCAGTGTCAATTTGAGATTCAGAGATTTCTTGTTCAGTTACAATTGATTCCTTTCTATGATCATCAAAACCATTATTGTCTGAATCTTCAATAATACCTGCTTGATCATGAGGCTGACTGTATGCAACAGCAGCATTAACCATATGTATAGTTGGTGCAGGTAAATAAATATTCAAAGGTATGTTCAGATGTATTGGAACGGATACTGGTATTGTATAAACAGCACCGGTTGTATTATCAGTATAGTTGTAAACTCCTTTTACAGGAACAGTTATATTAAGTACTGTGGACATATGTATTGCCGGGCCATTTGGAGGGAGTTGTTCAGTTTTGGTGCTATTTGTCAAATCTGAAAAAAATCATATAAGTTCTGGTTAGTCTAAGAAAAAAGATGTCAACAGGTTGACCCACAAAAAAGAGACTTTAATGACAACCTTGGTCACATTAAAAATTTGTGACCCTGTATTTAATTGAACTAGCTGTATATCTTGCTTTAATTCTTTCTCGGAACTATATATAGAATCGTTTACTCGATCTTATATTGCATCTGACTAAGCATAATACACAATTTTTGTATAGTTTAGACATGATATATTAAATGATTTGACACAAGAAAAACACAAGTCAGAAATGAATTTTCATTTCTATGATCCAAGTTTTTAAAGTATTGCCCAGCATCTGAAATATGCGTTAAATGTTTACAACAGAAAAGATAGTTTTCTTATGAGTTATAAATATACCTATTAATATTGCACTGGTTTCAGAAGATTCATTATCTAAGACAGCATGTACAAACTCTTGATCAAATGTGTTTTCAATTGACTCAGTTGTACTAATTCTTCCATCTTTACGAGCAGGACCTCTTCAAATAAATCTATTTTTAAATGTAACCATAAAATTTAAGCATGAATTTGTGTTTAAAGAAATGAATTCAAGTTTTAAATAATCATTATAATTTTCACTGAGAAAAAAAACTTAATTGCATTAATTTTTGCCTTTTTTTCATCAAATGAGTAAAATTTATCAAATAAGTGTAATTATAATATATTTTTTTTAATGAATAAAACAAATTTGTTAAATGAATAAAACAAAGTTTATACCCAAGTGAAAAAACTGTAAAATAAAGTAAAACCAAGACACCAGCTTGTATCAGCGTCATTTTTCGAACTGAGCTTGAACAAACTACGTTCTAACAGTGAAAAATTCGCGATTGATAGAATTCCTTTTGTATATTCTTGGCCATTCAGCATTTTATAACCATACGTTATTTTACGGTTTGCTAGGTATTAAAATTTAAAATTTGAAAACATTGATTTTTTATCTTTGAGTGAATAATTGAATAATTAATTTTATATAATAAAGAATATGATCTATATATTCACCTGAATTCATGAATACGGGTTGTATAAGGGAATTGTTACGGACGAAAAATTTAATAGTTGTCTCGGTAGAATAGGCTCATGAGATCATAGACCACTTAGATAGAGACTGGTTTCTTTTGTTTAAGTAATTTATGTTTAAGTTGAAACAGAGAAATTTTGATTATCCTTGAATACTTGTCATATCACTCTCATATGGGTACCTCTTGGTTCTTAACTTTTAAGAAATACAAATTCAAAGATTTTATGGTATTTGTTTTGAAATGACAGGGAAAGAGTAGGATGGCCGGTCGGTGTAAATTTTTTAGAAATAGCCAATAACGTTTTTTTATTCAAGCTGATATTCTAAAATTGACATTTTCAAAAAGCTCTAAAAAGTATAGTTTAAAATTTCCGACACTTTTTGCCATTTTTTTTAAAGATATGTGATGGATACTTGTGGGTTGTGGCGAATCAACAATAATTAGTACAGGGTGTTCCAATAAACATGATAATTGAGAAACGGCTTAAATATCGTCTTTGATTTCCGACAATTGATAAATGACATAAAGTATAATAAAAATGGAACGTCTTATAAAGTGTGGTCTACCTTCTTTAAAATTGACGGAGATATTAAACATTTGAGCAGTTTTGTTAAATTTTATTTAATTGGAATCTGGGCAAATTTCCTAATATCTCCGTCAATTTGAAGGTGAAGGTGGTAGACCACATTTTTGAAATCCCTATACTACTAGTTTTAGTGTTTAATGTTTGAACTGTGATGCCAAAAAATTACATTTACGAAATAATCCCACTTGAAACTAAGACGATATGGAAGTCGTCATTTGATTCCCAAGTTTATTGGGACACTCTTTACAAAGTTCCTATTCAGTACAACATTTGCGATTTTAGCAAGAACATATACTTATGCAGTATGCACGGGAAATGGCAGATAGATGTTATTGAATTACCAAAGGACCAAACATCTCGTCCATATCTGTAATATCTGTAATATCTATAATATCTGTAATATCTGTAATATCTGTAATATCTGTAATATCTGTAATATCTGTAATATCTGTAATATCTGTAATATCTATAATATCTGTAATATCTGTAATATCTGTAATATCTGTAATATCTGTAATATCTGTAATATCTGTANGTGCATTTGAACTATTTTCTGGTGCATTTGAACTATTTTCTGGTGCATTTGAACTATTTTCTGGTGCATTTGAACTATTTTCTGGTGCATTTGAACTATTTTCTGGTGCATTTGAACTATTTTCTGGTGCATTTGAACTATTTTCTGGTGCATTTGAACTATTTTCTGGTGCATTTGAACTATTTTCTGGTGCATTTGAACTATTTTCTGGTGCATTTGAACTATTTTCTGGTGCATTTGAACTATTTTCTGGTGCATTTGAACTATTTTCTGGTGCATTTGAACTATTTTCTGGTGCATTTGAACTATTTTCTGGTGCATTTGAACTATTTTCTGGTGCATTTGAACTATTTTCTGGTGCATTTGAACTATTTTCTGGTGCATTTGAACTATTTTCTGGTGCATTTGAACTATTTTCTGGTGCATTTGAACTATTTTCTGGTGCATTTGAACTATTTTCTGGTGCATTTGAACTATTTTCTGGTGCATTTGAACTATTTTCTGGTGCATTTGAACTATTTTCTGGTGCATTTGAACTATTTTCTGGTGCATTTGAACTATTTTCTGGTGCATTTGAACTATTTTCTGGTGCATTTGAACTATTTTCTGGTGCATTTGAACTATTTTCTGGTGCATTTGAACTATTTTCTGGTGCATTTGAACTATTTTCTGGTGCATTTGAACTATTTTCTGGTGCATTTGAACTATTTTCTGGTGCATTTGAACTATTTTCTGGTGCATTTGAACTATTTTCTGGTGCATTTGAACTATTTTCTGGTGCATTTGAACTATTTTCTGGTGCATTTGAACTATTTTCTGGTGCATTTGAACTATTTTCTGGTGCATTTGAACTATTTTCTGGTGCATTTGAACTATTTTCTGGTTCATTTGAACTATTTTCTGGTTCATTTGAACTATTTTCTGGTTCATTTAAACTATTTTTGCGTTTAAATACAATAGAATATGAGCTCAAAATCATTTAATATATTTTGTAACATTTGCCTTTATGTAGATTATGTAATTAGATCTTTTGTTACTTAAATCTTTTGTACTTTATATCTTGTGTTAATTGTATCATAAGTATGTTTTGGTATTATATATTTTGTATTTATTTTCCTTGTAATTATATCTTATGTTACTGAGCCGTGGGTTAAATCCTTATTAACTATAAATATTAATTAATAATTAAACATTTAATTATTTTGACATTTTTAGAAAATTTTTGATATTTTCTCACCTTGGATATTTTGTAACTTTGGACATTTTGTATTTTTGGACATTTTGTATCTTTGGACATTTTGTAACTTTGGATATTTTGTATTTTTGGACATTTTGTATCTTTGGACATTTTGTATTTTTGGATATTTTTGGATATTTTGTAACTTTGGACATTTTGTATTTTTGGACATTTTGTAACTTTGGACATTTTGTATCTTTGGACATTTGGTAACTTTGGACATTTTGTATTTTTGGACATTTTGTAACTTTGGACATTTTGTTATTTAAGCTTTTTGTTGCTTTAGAAATTTTGTTATTTAGGCTTTTTGTTGCTTTGGACATTTTTGTAACATTGGACATTTTGAAATCTTGTGTGTTTTGTTTTTGGGTGTTATTTTTGGGTGTTTTGTTATTGGACATTTTGTTTTCGGGCGTTTTGTATCCACTCCCTTATTACTTCCTCCAACACGTTCCTTTAAGCCCTCAAGTTTGGCTTTTAAGAACTATACTCCTATGATGTCTTATCTTTTATTTCCTGTGCCAAACTTAATATTTACTTTGACCCCAATGATATAAAAACAACTCTGAAAGTTAGTCATTAAATTTTAAGACAATCTTTAAAGTGTCGCAACTGCGCCTATGGCTTTTGGTTTTACCTCACCAAAGTGCTTTTACTTTTTTGTAGCCCCGGGGATGTACATTTCAAAATTCTAGATTAAGTTTAAAAGGAGAAATTTGGCAAAAATTCTGCAGTATTTTTGCGTGAAATCTTGCACATCTAAGTTTGCAATGGCCCTCTTTAAAATAAATGTAAACACAATTTCTCTTTTTATTTGAATATATTAGTTTGCATAAATATATAAAATGTATGAATCATTTATTCAATTATCAAGTATCAATACTGTAACATTTTACAAATTCAAATCGACGTGATTTTTTGAAATAATTTTAGATGACCCTGAATTACATGCCATTATTCAAAACAGCTTATTTTAACTCTTTATCAGATTAATACAGAAGAAGATTTCCTCGCTTTTAAAAAATAATTTTCCTGTCTCTTCTGCATCCGCAATTGAAAATAATCAATTTCAAAATAGAAAAACTAAGATAACTCCATCATTTTTCTTTTGTTTTAAGGAAAAATGATGAAGTTAAGGGGTCGGAACCATTGTAAATTAAAGGATGGGAAAAAAAATTGAATATAATTTTTTAAATCAAACCGGACTTTGGAGGGTCTCAATCTCATTATATTAACAAACAAAAAACATGCTTTTTGATAATTTGCAGAATAATTTTAATCCAAACCTTTGGTTTATTTTACAAAAATAAAAGCATGAACAATAACGTCACACTTGAAAGTATATATGAATGGAAAACTAGTGCCCCCCTGAATTTCTAGAGAACGGTTTGTCCTGAGCGCTGTGGCTAGGACAAGTTAAGGACTGCGAGATTGATCATTAAAGATAAAAAAGAGAGGAGGCGAATTCTCGAGAATTTTATGATTTACAGATTATCGATATCAACAAACTTTTTAACAAACTCATCAAGATTTGTTTTCAGTTCAGCTTCTTTCTGATCCATTATCATCTCTTCCTAGTTTTTTTTTAAAATGGCAATATCAACAAAACTATTGAAATTCAGCCATGATGATGCTTTGAGAGAGATTTTTAAAAATTTCGTAGTTTAAAGATTTCATATAAAACTTTGTAAATAAAAGAAAGGAAAAACCAGCACGAAATCTAAAATGTCACTTAAAGATGATAAAAATTAGGAACATTTTTAAAGTTTGAAATAGAAAATAAAAAATAAAAAAGAATGAAGATAAAATAAATTCAGATGTATTGTCCATTTCCCTGAGATTCCAACAAAATGGCGTCTGCTGCCTCTCCTTTTCTATTCATATCTTTAACTTCTCTTTTTCTTCTTCCTCTACCAACTCCTGCTCCCAAGAAGGTTGCCATTATAGCTCCAATAGGTATCAGACCCTAAATATTTTTTTTTAATCCATTATTAACCAATTCTATACATTTTATTTGTACTTTTTTAATGGGAATGATCTGTATCTTAACCCTATCCCGATTGGGGTATTTTTGTCTAATATAAATGGGGGAATGTTTTCCACCCCCCCACCCCTCCCCCATATGGTTTTGCCCTTAGAGTTGGGATATGGAGGTGTAATGCATGTCCCAAATACAACTTTTCAAGGTCTGCCCTTTAAAAAAAATAGAACTTTAACTTTAATGGTTAGGTTAAAAGGGAGGATTTTAAAAAAGTTCAAAAAGTATGTCGAACGATTTTTCAAAAATAGTTATTTTTACTTGTGACAAATATTAACATGTGACACATTTTATCATATCCATTTTTTAAAGGACTTTTCAAATATATAGTTTTTAGCCCTGTATCTTAATCAATAAAGAAGTTATTAACCATTTCTGATTTTTTTTAAATACCGACCCGCCGTTTGACCGTCATCCACCCTACCCTATGCATAACAAACTTTTTTTTGCTAAATTTGTTTAAAACTATTATGTTAAGAAAGTGAAGAAGTTACAGCGTTAATGTAAGCCGTTTTAAGTTATTCAGAAAAAAACCACAGGGGGCTGAAAAACACCCCCGCCCCCCACCCCCCGCCAATCGTGATGGGGTTAAGAATTATTTCTTACAAGGACTAACAGCGTCATTTGAATTGCAGTGACCCTCCAAAAATATATGGCAATGTCAGATTCACAATGCTTTGTCTCAATGATGTAATGCAAGGAAAGTTATTTCAGAAGTACTATACGCATCTTTTGTACTGCAGTGTACTGTCTCTGGGCGGTAATGTAAACACAAGACGGATGATACAGGCTGACATGGGATCCATCTTTCACATAAAAAAATCAATGAAATATTCTGGTCATAGGAAACTATTATGTGAATTATCAAAATTATCAAAGTTTAATGCTTTTAACCTCCTTGGATACTAAACGAACACTGATGCATCTATTCTTGTTTACAAATTCCGCCCAAAGAGAAACGGTTTCAATATGTACGCAGAGTATACACGACCGCAATTAACTTTCCTTTCATTACACCCTTGCTTTGTCTGATCAGGTATGATATATCAATGTGTATAATTTTGAAAACAAATTATTTTCGACTAAAGTTTCTCTGAAAAAGTGAAATAAGCATTTCTACTTTGAGAAAACAAATAAAAATCATCTTTCATATTATTGAACAGATAAAGGAGTCAAGGAAACCGTTGTTAATCTTCTCATGGAGGGCCACACTTACAGTCCCTTTAAAAATAAAGCACATCAAATAGATTTTCAAGTACAATAGGTGGCAACAGAGAAATGGATCAATTATACACCACGTCACAAGTGTCAAATATAACAGGATAACGAAATCATTTGATATGTTTTTCAAGATTAAATTAAAAAATGTAAAAACAGAAAATAAATAACACAAAAAATTGCATCTTTTTTACTGTAAGATAAGCTTTTTATTCTAAAATTATCACTATTATTAATAATTTTGTCGGACACAAAAACTGAGTTGACACTTGTGATGTAAGAATACAGCTGTACTGAGAGTGTACAAATACTACAGAGCGTCTCATATCATATTAGATTATCAACAATTTTTAACGCCAAAATACGCAAATAATACGCGAAAAATCTAGCATTTTCTGCCAACAAAATTTCTATTAGCCTTATTAAATTTTTTAAAATGATTCATTCTTCATAAATTTTCTGATTTATCCCCCAAATCGTAATTTAGACCCATTGACGCGGTCTAATTTTATGTGGGACACCCTGTACGTTGCCATCTATTGTACTTAACAGTCTATTTAAAGCACATGAAAGAAGTAAAGATACAAACATAAACACATAAACACATACAACACAAAGACTACTTGAATTTTCAAAGAATTGAACAATCTCTCTTTTGCATTGAAAAGTTATTGTTAATAAAGTTTTACCGCGATTAAACCTGCAAATCCTTCTGAGAGGGAGGGACGGTAAATAATCCTGTTTGAAGGAGGGGAGATAGCCCTCGGTCCCTCGTCACTTCTGCGGTTAGATTGAATCCTACTGCTCCAGGGATAGTGTTCAGCTTGGTTAAAATTGCCCCAGGTTGGTTTAGAGATCAGACGAATATTCGCCCGCCGGTTTCCAGGCAGGGTCATCGGCGTCTGGTTCGGAGAAAACCGGCGGTCATTTCGACGGTGGTTGTTGAACGGATTGGTTTGAAAGTGTTGAATGACTATTGTTCTATCGTCCTGGTAGACCATATGCCCTTCCTGGGAGTTAGTTGCTCCTTTATGAAACTCTTGTTCCACAATATCCTTGATCTTCGCATCCTAGAAACATATTTTGAATTGTAGAGATTTTAATCTAACCCTATAATGGAGAACAAGTATGTTTTTCATTATTTTTTTATTTTAATAATTCATGCCATAATGAAGGATACACGAGTTTTTTTTTGTACCCCGCTCACCGCATGTTATCCTAAACTCTTTAAATATGATAAAAAAGCAAATTTGTTCTTCTGCTTACAATGTAAAGAAAATGGTATACAGAGGGAACCAATAGACTTTGGAAGCATTGTCTATTTCTGTATTTCTTTTTGCTTTAATGGTTTGTAATTGTTAAAACTATTTCTTAATTTAAAAAAAAACATTTATTAGAACTTATATCACAAAACCTTTCCGACATTTTGTAATGAAAAGAACGAAAGGAAGACGACAAAAATTCCACTTTTACCTGGTTTTTCATGTCTGTTTATAAAATACCTTATAGTCTCTTCGGTTTGTTTGTTTCCAAATATCATTAAACGGAATTGGGCGGTGAAGGGAGTGTTCCTTTGTGTAATGATCATCCGGGGAGTGTTCCTTAAACCTGTCAGGTCTATTAAGGGAGTGTTCCCAACTGTATTCTGGAACCTTGGCATTATTTCTCCTGTTCCATCCATGCTTTCTTCCAGTTTCAAATATTGGAATGTTATTGAAATTTTTTTTATTCCAATTCATTTGTTTTTTCAATCTTTGGTCCCCAGTCCACTCATGGTTAACCCTAAAGAGACGAACTTAATTAAGCAATTAATTACAAAATAAATATATTTAGAGTATAAGAATGGACAATTAGTCTGTGAACTCAATTGAAAGAAATTTAAGAAATGTTTTGCTTCAAAAATAAGAAAAAATAAACTCATTTTAGTCATAAACCTTTTGTCAAATTTTTTTTCAACTTCAATTGAAAGGTTTTAATTGAAGGGGTAAAATTGTAAAAATATTATTTCTTGATTTTATAAGCTTACCATTTATCAGGATTCATAATAAAATTATGTTTGAATTTGTTAAAATGGTCTTGATGGGATCCGCTGTTGTATTCTAGATGTGGATCACTGTCGTATTCTTGATGTGGTTGACTATTGTATTTTTGATGTCGTTGGTTGTTGTATTCTTGATGTCGTTGGTTGTATTCATTTTGGGGACTATCGTTACTGTTAAACTGATTGTACATGAAAATATCATTATTTTCTGAATTTTTCTCCAATCTGTTTGCTTCAATATCTGGATAAATATCAATCTTTCTATTATCATTGTACGAATTGTAGACAGGATAGATGTCGTCTTGATGTTGACTGGGTTTTGAAAACTCCACATTGTTTACTGGTGAGTTGCTGATTTCGTTATAGCTCGTAGGTTCAGGACGGGTCGAATATTTATTTTGCTCCGGGTATGGGTTGTAGCCTGATGGTTTTGAGTTCTCAGTGTTAAATGGAAGTGGGATGTTTGACTGTGGAGAAAAGCCTGGGTTCTCCGGATATATTTCCTAAAACAAAATTATAAATACATTAGAACTAATAAAGCATTTTGTTAGAAATAATAAATAGAATGTTAAATTAAAATCACAAATTTCTTTATCCCTGATATTCTTTTTATAACTTCTACCAAAATATTCTGTAAATAAGAACACAAAAGTAGGGTTTCTCCTAGAAGATGTAGAACTGGAAGACGACATTATATCAATCCTTTATTTGATGTTGTTACACAGAAAAAAGTTTACACGTAACAATTCTTGAATTACTTTTAAGTCAAATGTTTCCGCTTACACTTAACAGTTTCTGTATTTTTTGTTCTATGGACAATTTAAAGTCATAAAAAGTCTAAAAGTTGCATTTCCTATTTCAGAGTTCTCTGGTTCTCACTGCACATTAAAATATCTGTATTTTAAGAAGCCTTTCTTGTATAAAAACGAAAAAGAACGATGCCTTATGTTATTGGTTTTTTGTCCGACGGCATTAGATACAGTTATTATCAAAGCTCGATGTGGCATAGAATAAGTAGAATTTTTAATAAAAAAATTCTATAAAAATTATTTACTTGGTATTTATCTTGTGCGAAGGGTTTAAAAACTGGAGACAGAGGTGTATTCTAAAATATGAAAAGATTATATATGCAGTGATGTTCTAATTATAAGCCGGAATTGATATTAATTGAAGACTTAAAGTCAGCTTTGAACATGGGATATGGGAATGTTGGGAAACCTAATTCTGCAAATATTTTTCATGAAACTTTAATCACTATAAAGCCCTTATCCTGGCATTTTCAAATTGTGGTCTGCCTTTATTGTGCTTTTACAATTATAGACAAACATGGATGATTTTGTCAAGAATTAGACATTTTATGTTTTTGACTTAGTAAATTGAAATCTAAACAAAATTCTTAATATCTCTGGTTTTAAAGCAAATAGATGGCAGACCACGTTTTGAGCTTTTTTGTGATTATTGTTTCTTGAAAAATATTTCTAAAATTAGGTCTGCCAACAGAAATACCGGAAACTATTTCAAAGGTCAAAGACGACTCGAGGTCTTCAATCAACTAATTTCAATTAACATCATTAGTAAACAACTTAAAAAACCCCCTCTATGTATATTTTTGATGAATCATCCTTACCTGATACTCTTTATTCACATATTGATCTAGATTTGTATAAAGTTCCTGATTCTCATACTGTTCCTGATTCGCATACTGTTCCTGATTATCATAGTGTTCCTGACTTTCATAATAACTTGGTTCTTGCACATGATTAGCTAAATTCTGTCCATTCCTTCTTGATGATTCTTTATCCTTCAGATATCCAAGTTTTTTTATTGATTGATTGATTGGTATGAAGATTTTAAATGTCGTCTTAGTCAATCATGTTTTGAAATCAAATCGGTAATGTAATACGAAATATACCCTCTACTGAAAAACAAATGCAAAAATATAATATTTCAAAACTTTTAATGCTGAGCTCTCAGAGCAGAGAATATTCCACAAGATTGTTTGTGCAATAAACTGCTGCAGCTACAACACTTTCGGTTTTCGCGGAAAATGTTTTTGGCGAAATCATTTACGCTAATTTTCGCAAAAATTTTGTTTGCAAAAGTTTGCATCGCGAAAAGGTTTGCGAAAAACGAAAGATTTTTTTGCATTTTTTCGCGAAATTGTTTCATTCGCCGGACACCCTACACGGCCACATGTCAAACTAGCAACTGAAAAACCAAATGCCAGAAAGTCGGAAGTGTAGTATAGTGGATGATGCTTAGGTCAGAAGTGCAGTACAGTGGATGTGCGTAAGTCGGAAGATACACACCATCATAAAATAATTTTGATAATCTGCCTCATGTTTATCAGCTAGCTGAATGTAGTTGTGTCCATCAATACTTGTTGTGACAAAAAACTAGTTTTTTTTTTCAATTTATGCAATGATTAAATTTATTTTAGTTGTTTCCGTGTAAAACTCTGAGAGTTTGAACTTGAAGTATTTCCCAAGAAAGATGAGACTTCAAAGACGACTGTTCAGAATATATTTGAACTTTTCTTTTATTCCATGGGTTTCTGACAGCTTTTTCTTTAGCAAATCATTTAATACAGTGGTCGGCGATTACATCAATACAATGAAGTAGATTTTTTTATTAAGAATGCTTTGATCTCAAGCAAGCATTTTCAATTTACAAGTTTACGAGTCAACAAATAGATGCTGTTAATTTACAAGTAAACAAATAGATGCTGTTAATTTACAAGTAAACAAATAGATGCTGTTAATTTACAAGTAAACAAATAGATGCTGTTAATTTACAAATAAACAAATAGATGCTGTTAATTTACAAGTAAACAATTAGATGCTGTTAATTTACAAGTAAACAAATAGATGCTGTTAATTTACAAGTAAACAATTAGATGATGTTAATTTATAACTTCCCTTAGTTTAAACGTTTGAAAGCTTTTTAGAAATCCAATTGAAAATAGAAAGTAGTCTCCATAGTATTGATGATATATATGACAACGAGATTATGTCCACATAAGCCTAATGTCGGGTTATCAAGTCTCATCCTTTATGGGTAATCCTGTATTAGCTTACCGTAGAATTTTGGGGTTAGGGGCCGGGTATTAACATGGGGAAAACAGTTCATTTCTTCTCAAACTCAGGTCTGGACAGAGTTTAGAAACAAAGTAAGGAAAATAAGATATTTTACAATGAACTAAGAGAAAAAGCATCCAGCCTTTTTCCCCAATCCTCCCCCTCCCCCCATTTTTTGACATACATTAATTATCAATAAATATTTGAATAAATTTAGCATAAATTCTGCCTGTGGCGTGACATCCTGTATAGTTGTCGGAACATGGGCCTGAGATTTTTCAAGCNGATACCTAGTATTAAATACAAGGAAAGGAAAGAAGATTGGGATAATATAAGAGGTAGTTCACTGATTAAAGTTAATTCTCTGGGTTAATAATTCTGTTAGTATGCGAAGTAAAATAAAAACAGACCCCATACAGGCATAATTTCATCAGCAAAGGCCTGATTTTCTGGTAGAACAATATTTAGCCTAAAATAAAAAATTTAAATTATTTACAGTAAGAACTAGAAAACTCTGAAATAGGATGACGACATTTAGGATCGAGTTATGACTTTAAATAGTTTAATAAGCATGGAACACAGCAGTTGGGTTGTGTAAACAGACCCATGTCTCTTAATTGGTGACTTAATAAGTGTCTCATAAAACTAATAGCTTTGTAACAACAACAAATACACTTAAGTATTGATATAAAGTCGTCTTCCTAATTCAGAGTTTTCAAAGTAATGAAGAATATCTTTACAGTGTTCTCCGAAAAATAAATTACTTCATGTTGTCCCAAAAACCATAAAAATCAAGAATTCCGTTTTTTCTTAAAAAGTTAAGAGGGTCAAGGCTTCCCTAAATGTAACCTATCTTCTTTGTATCTTAACATTTAAAAGATTAACCATTTTTTTATTTAAAAAATTGAAATCTGCATTAGATTTACATCTCCGTCAATTTTGACAGTACAAAAATGGCAAACATAAATTTGGAATGAAGACTATAGAGTTGTTGCGATGTTTATAAGTTTTAAACACTTTTATAATAATGCTATACGAAATACCACAAGGATTAAGGACGTAACTTAATTCCTTTTTTTCTGGGACACCCTGTATTAAAGCATCTGCTATCTTGAAACCTTAATGCTGAGATGTTTATGACTTAATTAAGGATACACTCACAACACGTGCACGCGTCATGCAACGTGTCTCTTTTAATTGGTTATAAAATGCCATTTTATTATATATAATCTAATTTTGGTAATACTTTTCTTCTCTAAATTTAGGAGTTTAATTGACATATATATCAAATGCCCGGTCTATGTCTGAGCGTAATTTTCCTGCTTTTTATATCAAATTTGAAATTTTCAAATTCGGATTCTCCATAACAGCAATTTTCGTATTTAAGCAGTCGAGTCCAAAAAGGAAATTGACAGAATTTCATTAAAAATACTTTGACAGTCCCTTTAAGCTTTTAGTTTACCTCCTGTAATAGTCCAGGTTTTCTTCTCTCCTTAAAGCTTTTAGTTTACCTCCTGTAATAGTCCAGGTTTTCTACTCTCCTTTCTTTAAACTATTAGTTTACCTCCTGTAATAGTCCAGGTTTTACTTCTCTTCTTTAAACTATTAGTTTACCTCCTGTAATAGTCCAGGTTTTCTTCTCTTCTTTAAACTATTAGTTTACCTCCTGTAATAGTCCAGGTTTTACTTCTCTTCTTTAAACTAATTACCTCCTGTAATAGTCCAGGTTTTTCTTCTCTCCTTTAAGATTATCCAAGTACTTTTGATGCATCAATTCAGTTTCAAGACTTATCTCCCCACCAGTTTCCAAATCCCTAAAAAATAGTAAATATGTGTCTTAAAAGTCCATGTTGGCGTATTTTTCAGTAAGTCTTAACTTTGTAGAATGCCATGTCGGATTCACAAACTTTGTAAGATCAAGAAAGCATGATATATAAATTTTTTTCTCTTTGACTATTGCAGATTTCTCCTTTAGAAATATTGGAGAAAATTATTAGAATTAAACATTTCTCAAGCTATAGAAACTAAAAATATCTTCTTTATTGCTCATATAAAGGTTTAAAGGGCATTGTAGTGAATTTGCCACGCTCATATTGGAATTAAAACGACTCTCTCAATTAGCCAACATATAACAGCAATATAAACGGGGTTCTTACGTAACCCTAAGAACGGATTTAAATTTTTAATTTTACTATTTTTTAAATGATATTTTTTTCAAAAATAAAAGTTTAATTTCATTTTATTGGTGAAATCATGATGTTGATAATGACAGTGATAATGATAATAGTTACAAAAATAAATAACAATAATAATATCTAATCTTAATGAAAATAACACTAATAATAATCATAATAAGTAAGAACAATAATGATAAAATAATAATAATATTAACGAAATAATAAAATTAATAATAATAACAACAATAATTATAATAATAATAATAAAAGTAACAATGATACCTAGTATTCTCGTAGGGCTGCATATCATATATTTCTTCTGATTCTGATGCCACCATCCTAAATGTTAAATAATATACTTTACATTTTTTCTTCACTTTTTTCCCCTTGTGCGCATTTTATGTTGTTATAAAGCAAAACATTTTGTTACTAGTAGCTCGAAAATAGACTTTTAAGAGATATATTAATCCACTAAACGCTACTACATTTATTCGGTAAGTGTAATGCAAATTACTGCAGAACGCACCGGAAGCTAAGTTAAGGGGACTACAGGTCTGTGTACAATGCACATTTGCTGTGTTTCATGCTTGCACGTTTAAAAAATATTTACTTTTTCTAATTTACTATTCTTCTCGTGTGTATTCTATACTTAAAAATAATTAATCTTTTTATAGGTCTATTTGGAATTGTAGGAGGGGGGGGGGGCAAATAAAGGAGAGGGGGGATAAAGGGATACATTTCTCTTTCGCTTAAGATTTATAGCGAGATATATGATCAAGTTAATCTTACTTAGTTTAGTTTTTAATGTTCATTAATGTATCATTAATATGGTCATTGACTAATATTACTGATATTACAACACGTATCAATAAACATCAACTCTAACTATAGTCCCACAAAGGGCAGTTTTTTCCCTTACGAATACGAATCATTTTTTAGTTCTCCGGCGTTCATATCCACGGCCGCGAAGAGAGAGTAAAGGACGAAGGGAATAAAATTTCGAAATGTATCCTTAAAACGTGCCAATCAAACTCTTTTTGTATGATGGTGACAATTATGGGCCTGGGGCCCTCTATTGCTTTAAATGGCCACTAAAGGACTCAAACAAAACTTTCATCTAACAAATAACAATTTATCTCTGGCGAGCTGAAAATATGTTCTCCAATCGGAATTGCTCAGAATTGTGCGGAATTGCGCGGAATTCTAAAGCTCGAAATTGCACGGAAGTAATATCAACTTGCGTGGAAGAAAACCCCAAGCTTGAAAGTAAGAATCGTAAATTCCTTAATTTCTGTTTTCAATTAAAAGTGTTTATTTAGAAATGTCTCCGATTTTAAAATGAAAACTAGAGTCGATCCCAGATATCAGCAGGTTTAAATGAAAAAGCAATTCTTTAGTGTTTTTTTATCAAATTCTTATAGTCAGTTTTCCCAGTGTAAAACTCGGCTTTTATCGCATTTTTAGTGTCTTTTGAGAAAGATTAATATCATAAATATCTCTTTACATTCACGAGTAGTCCCTTTAAACTCAAAGTAAAAAACCCTTTCCATGCCTAGTCCTACTCAGTAGCTTTATAGTACACAAGGACAATGTATATCCACCATGACACAACATATTTTAGATGGTGTACTGTAGTCTATACTACGGTAAGTTTAAGATATTGTCAGGGACGGATAGAACCAATTAGTGCTATTTTACAGATCCATAAACCTGTGGAATAAGAAGACGATTGTTAGATATCTCTTAATAACTTCAGATAGTCCAACTGTCCAATGAACTTGAAACACAGCGTGTAGCCCACACAAAACACAATACTCGGAAAGTTCTTAGATTAAAATTATCCCTGAATTAGGTTTCGATCAAAAAGCAAAACAAAAAGACAAAGTACGTGTAGTCATTCATAAACTTATCGACCTGAAAAAAAAATGAAATGAACTGTCATTAAACTCAGTCATAAGAGAAGTTTTTAAAATGGTCGTTTTTTTAAAAAAGAGATCGTTATTAAAAATCGCTTTTTGTTTTGTAAAGGTTTAAAATGAGCGGTTCGTTTTTCTGAAACCATTATCAACCCTACCGATATAACTTGTTAATAAGTTGGTTTGTTTGCTAGCAAGGAACTGAAATACCCCTGCAGAAATGTTTATTCACGTGTCAACCTTAGTTCTTGAACCACGAGATGAGAAGGTTAGATTATTTATTCCCAGGCTGTAATTAGGAAGGTTTAGCAGAGGGATACGAAGATTAACTCATTTCTGACGAAATTTTAACATCAAAGAATTTGATTGATATATATGTCAATTCATGGTTGAAAATATATTATAATTTCATAACGTAGAGCGTATTTATTAGTGTTTTATTAAGCTGTATGTTACTATATAAGTAGGGTTGTTAATCGTTTTTGAAAACGATCGCTAACGATCGATTTTATTTTCACTTTTCAATCGTTTTCAAAAATGATCGTTTCGTTTTCGGAGAAAACGATCGTTTTTAAAAACGACCCACTCGTGTTGAACTCTTAGAAAACGAATAACGATTGTTTTTAAAAACGATCGTTTTAAAAACGACCATTTTTAAAAAACAAGCTTTTTATAAAAACGAATGCTTCATTTCTATTTTTCGTCGTCGTTTTCATAAGAAAACAATCGTTTTTTTCAAAAAATGAAAACGTTAACATCTCTATAATATAAGTATATTTCTACTACCTGTCAGAACTTAGATTAAGGATCTTAAAAAATATTCATTTTTGATTTTGACCGCGGAATTTTTTTTTCTTGATTAGGTAAATATTAGTCTAGTACAAACAATTGATTAAGAATCTGTTATGTTTAGAAATTTGAAATTATATAGATTATATATGGGTTTTTAATGTACCTCTATCTGCATAATAAAACAAGACATTATGTACCCTATAGCCGCCAAATGGCTAAACCGAAGGGGCTAAAAACTTCTTTTAGGAAACTTATAGCTACCCTGGGGGTAACATAGACTAAAAAATTCAAAAATTTTTATTTTTTTTAAATCATTTTTTTTCAAAATCTTAATTTTTATTTTTTTCTAAATTCCACGGGCAACGCCGGGCCCTGAAGCTAGTATGTAATAAATAGAGAAAATTAAATAACCGGAGACAGTTCTATCTTTCAAGCGTTAATCTGATAAAATTGTGCACAGTGCACTTATATCATAAAGAGACCATCCTGTCTGATATTTGATTAAATATAATCTAAGACCTTGACGTATATATAAATCTAAATTCTAAAGAAATTAACTTAATTTTGTTTGATTAATTGATTTCATAAACAAATTTAAAGTAACCAAACTGGCTCATATTTAAAAAAATCAAATCTTAAGTAACCAAACTGGCTCATATTTAAGTAAATCAGATTTAAAGTAACCAAACTGGCTCATATTTAAAAAAAAATTTAAGTAAACAGACTGGCTCATATTTAATAAGATAAAATTTAAAGTAACCAAACTGGCTCATATTTAATTAAATCAGATTTAAAGTAACAAAACTGGCTCATATTTAATTAAATCAGATTTAAAGTAACAAAACTGGCTCATATTTAATAAAATTAAATTTAAAGTAAACAAACTGGCTCATATTTAATAAGATCAAATTTAAAGTAACCAAACTGGCTCATATTTAATTAAATCAGATTTAAATTAACCAAACCGGCTCATATTTAATTAAATCAGATTTAAATGGACCAAACTGGCTCATATTTAATTAAATTAGATTTAAAGTAACCAAACTGGCTCATATTTAATTAAATCAAATTTAATGTAACCAAAATGGCTCATATTCAATTCAATCTAATTTAAGTAACCAAACTGGCTCATATTTAATCAAATCAAATTTAAATTAACCAAAAAGGCTCTTATACCTGTTATCACATTCTGTTTAAGGTTACAAATCAATCAAATGTTTTTACATCCCTTCACTTTAAATTTTGGAATTAAAAACCTCGCTCTTTTGGCAGCAAAAGTTGTATGGCTGTCAAATAAGCGACAGCAAATTTCTTAAACAGTGATAGCCAAATATAAAATAAAAATGGAATAACCAATACTTTGATATTTTATATTGCAAAAGCAAATAGTTTTACTAGACACTTACTAAATCACTGATTTGGTTAATGGGCCTGTAAACTGTTTACACTGCACAATGACTGTACGTCTCGTGCTAATCGGACTTTATAACTTGATTCTAAAAGTCGTTTTCCTATTTCAGAGTTTTCTGGTTATCACTGTATTCAACAAAAAATCGCTTATTTGGTTTCAAGTGTTTTTTATCGAAAATAGCTCTATAGCTTTTTTTAATTTTTGAATAGAAGACTGGTTTCTAATCCTGGTAAAAATCCCTTTCAAAATGCATATTTACCATTCTCTCTCTTCATCTTGTTTTTCCTTTCCTCTTTCTTTTCCTCGTTCTTTATACAATCTTAACTCCTTTTCTAGATTATTTTCTTTCAAACTCATTTTTTCTGAAACAATTAGCAATTTGGATTAATCTGTAATATTTTGCAATATCTTCAATTTTCTTAATTATGTCGCAATATTTCTAAAACATTTTGCAATATCTACATTTTTGGCAATATCTACATTATTCTGAAATATTTCGCAATGTACATTATTCTGTAATATTTCGCAATATCTACATTATTCTGTAATATTTGCAATTATTCTGCAATGTTTGTCGCAAACAAAACATCAAGTTTTTGCAATTTACAAAATTGTGATGCTGAAATTTTGCTGAACAGTTTTTATGTTTAGTTTATGCATATTTTGAAATCCTTCATATGTCAAACATGTCAACTTTTTAGGATGTCAGCAATCTTTTAAACATTTTATAAATAATTTGGTTATTATTATAGAAATTGTAAAAGTGATCTTTAATATTTTACAATATTGGAACTATATTTTGCCAATATTTTGCAATAGTATTTATCATTTTCTCAAAGTTTGCAATAGTGCAATTACCAGAAATATTAAACTTAACCTCACGTATTTCTAAAGGGAATGTTCACCTATTTTAAAATGGAAAAATTACGCCAGTTTTTACATATAACTTGAGATACAATTGCGCATATTTAAAAGGACTGAGAACGAAATTTTAAGAATCCTCGATTTCTACAAGGGACATGTCCGATTCACAGCAGTACCAAAAAAATTCCATTGAAAATGAAAGAGATTTTCTTAATTTTCTCTGTTAAAATTGATTATTGACCATTGTTGAGTTGGTGTGGAAAAACCAAAGAGCAAGACGTACGGCACTAAAGATTTTATTATTAACTTTCAGAGTTGTCTATAGATATCAGTGTACGGCGATTTTCTCATCTTTTGAGCCAAATCAATCCATAACCTGGTGAGTTGACTTTAATCACCTTTAGGTTAAACCAAGAAATATGTATTTAATAATCAACTAAACTGTAGTATTTACAGTTTAGATTTTTTTTAAGAAATAAAATAACATATCTAGGTTCTACTCAAAATTCTGATGAAGATGGTATGACTTACTCCATAAAAGATACATTGCGGGGAAAAAATCTCCACAGAGACAAACTTCTAACAGTACAAACGCATAAAAGAAAATCTCGAAATTTATTAAATTTCGGATTTTTTTTTAAATCAAGTAATCTTGCTTTTATTCTGAGTCAGGCCGGGTCTATGGGAAAAAAAATTTCCGGTGTTTAGCCTTTCAGGAGTTTTGCTCTTTTCAGGAGTTTGTTTCTTTTCAGGAGTTTGTCTCTTTTCATAAGTTTGTCTCTTTTCGGCCGTTTGTCCCATTTCAGGAGGTTGTCTCTTTTCATAAGTTTGTCTCTTTCCGGCAGTTTGTCACACTTAAGGAGGTTTCCTTTTTTCAAGATTTTGTGGGATGGGGGGGAAGGGGGGAATTTCATGGGAAGAATGGTTGAAGATTGGATAGGGGGTGGGGGGATTTGATTTAGTTATATCCCACTTTGACCATCAGTTTGCTATCAATACTATAATATTATAGATTATCAAAAGTTTCAATAAATAGTTTCCTAAAGTTTCTGAAGCTTGGTGAACCACTAGACAGTTGCTTAATAAAATTTCGAAATGTATCCTTAAAACGTGCCAATCAAACTCTTTTTGTATGATGGTGACAATTATGGGCCTGGGGCCCTCTATTGCTTTAAATGGCCACTAAAGGACTCAAACAAAACTTTCATCTAACAAATAACAATTTATCTCTGGCGAGCTGAAAATATGTACTCCAATCGGAATTGCTCAGAATTGTGCNAAAGGGTTACACTACGCGGATCGAACAGTCAGCTTGAAAACAGCCAAAATTGTTGTTTAGCTAAAATTACACCGGAAAAAATGTGGTTATAGCGCCTATTAAACAGTTAGTAGTATAGCTAAAATGACAATATATCAACCAATAAGTCCACGAAAACGAGTCTGTATCACCCTGTTTATTATCATTTTTAATTAACTATTTTTTACACTGTTATTTTGGTTCGCAGCGTTATAAAGTTTTTGGACAGAAATTTTCTCTTTATGGAGAAGGTTCAAGCCTTTTTAGATTTAAGTTTGTCCCGAGCTCTATCGAGAGACAAAATCTAAAGAGGCGAAAACCCTCAAGATATAGAGAAAATTTAAGTTCTAAACTTTATAACACTGCAAACCAAAATAATAGTGCTATAGGTAATTTTATGAAACGGTTGTTTACTTATCTTATTTCAATGGATATTTCTAGATCAAATAAGCTTTGAAACAAATCAGAAGTCAGAATATACAGTGGATTTTAATTTTATTTTCATTTCAATTAAAAAAAATATTTTGGAAATATCCTAAATTTTTGGAGAAAATCCGGGAACCAGTCAAAACTTTATAGCTGCACATGCTATAAAGTACAGCAAATTTAACATTATAGCACGTTCATCATTCACGATGAAGTGAGGAAGAATGATAAAGTACACTATAGTTTCATAAAACAAATAATAAAGATTAATGAAAATATTGTTATTTTACAACACACTATAAAGGTTTATGAGAAGTGTTAAACCTAGATTAATTTAATAACATAACGCAACTACAGAGACCCTGTAGAAATCATTATCTATTTATATATTTAAATTATATTTTATGTATTTTATTTATACATTTCTAATTTTTTTTATATTTTATATATTCTATTTATACTTTAAGCTTTAAGGAAGCTCCGATTCCAATCTTTTCATAATAATTTTAACTTAAAAATATTACCTTATTTGAGAGCCTTTCCTTCATACAAAGTAAAATATTGACCTTTAAATTTCACAAAGGAATTGAGTTTTTGCCACAAACTCAAGTTTTCTAATCCCCATATCTTTTTAACACAATGGTACAAACCTTTGATATCCCAAACCAAACCTATTTGATTTGATTTAACAGAATTCATTGTTTGAAAAATTTAAGATCTAAGATATTGGGTTGCAAAGATCAAAGGATTACAAAATCAGAGTTTGTTGACGTATATTTAGAAAAAATCAAAAATCTCAATTCTTTAAATCCTGATAGTATAACCAGCCTTGGAGAAGAGATACCACACAAACTCTGCGGCATAATCTGTTTAGCCGTTTCAATGTTTGAATAGCTGAGAAGCATTCTATTGAAGTTTAACAATTGGATTTACGCCAGATTCTCATTTGACAGTGATTAATAAACATTTTTTGAGACTGCTTGAGATCGTGAGTTGGTCATACCTTTATTAATTTTAGTTCGATCAAAGGGACTGTTAACTTAATTTTAGTTGGCCTTACAAGCACAGATTTACATTAGTACCCTTGAAACATTTATTTTATTTTAATGTGACATATATTGTTATAGTTTTTCTAGGTTTAAGAATGTTTTCTTATAAAAATTTCTGAATGTTTTTCCTGTAGCAGAAATTCGAAAGTCACTTTTGCAGAGAAATCGCAATTGAAAATAATAAGGTTTTAATATCATTAGCTTAATATTCAATTCAAACTAGATTATACAAAGCGTATCAGGGTAACGTTGTGAATCAGACATTCCCATCTTTGAGAGTACTGTCAATTGCCATCCTTTTAAATTGAAGGACAATAACAAATGGGTTGCTATATTTTCACTATTTAAAGAAGAACCAAGTTCCTTTTCAATTATTTGGTTCTCACAGAATTGCCTAAGAAGGGGCGGTGTTTATCCGTCCTGCTCCGGCATATCTTGAAAACTACTTCATCTTCTAAACTCGCTCACTTGGACCAATTTAACGTGCACGCACACTCGGAGATTATGTAAACACGGTGCACGCTTGTCACCAAATATAAAACATCATCCTATTAAATGAGAAGAAATGTCAACAAAACAGTTTTTCATTGTTCAATTCGAAATCCAGAACATTGAAAATAATTTACAGAGGTCAGATGTAGAGATTACAAATTGGGGAACAGTAAGATGGCATTTAGACTTGAATTATGATTTTGGATAGTTCAATGAACATGCAACACATAGTAAAACATTTTGCTTTGTAACTACATCAAATAGGAATTAATATTGTCGTCTTCCTATTCCATAGTTTAATGATTCTCATAGTACTGACAGTTTGAGATTTTCAATTGATGCAGTAGGTAGCAAGTTATTGAGAACATTGCTTTATGCATAGGTGTGTTTGATTTTTCAAAAATACCTGAACAGATAAAATGAAAGGTTATTTATTTTCAAATTCATTGACTTTGAAATAAAGCAATGCACATGTTGATCTATACGCTTAAAGCTTTATAACCTACAAATCAAGCCAAGCCAAGCCAAATCAAGCCAATTTTAGTTTTTGCATGGATATGTCTTTGGCGTACATTTAGATTTAGTTCTTCATACAAAGGAATTGATTCTTTGCCACAAACTCAAATTTTGCAATCTTTATATTATTGCAACCTGATGATGCAAATCTTTGATATTTCAAACCTATATTATTCAATCTAACAGAATTCATAGATTGAAATATTTAAGAGCTAAGCAAATGGGTTGCAAAGATATAGGGATTGAAAATCAGAGTTGGTGGCAAAAACTCAACTTCTTTACCCATTTTCGGTCAAGTAACAACAAACATTGATCACATTTGATTAATCCTAAAAAACCTAATATTTGCGTAAATTATACAATGTTCATTTCTTTGTTTACACTAAGTCTAAAAATAACATCTTCTTTGTTTTATAACAGTTCATCATTCTCTATTCAGTGTTAAGTTAGTAAATATTCTTTTTATGTAAGATTCAAAAATTAAATAAAGAAATTCCTATACTTTTTCAACAAAATACTAACTTTAAAAACATGTCATATTCTAGTTTTTCCTGGGAATTTTTTCCACCTTTTTTCACTGTAAAAAAGAATTATTTTTCCAGAATGACGATATATTAAAATCTTAAGATTAAAATGTGAATTTTCAAATGAAAATAAATTACGAAAATCTTTTTAGGAAAGGAATTGAGTCTTTGCCACAAACTCTGATTTTCTTATCACAAATTTTGTAGACCTTAGATATTTCAAACTATG